AATTTATGTACTAATTATTGTGAGATAATTTAGATGAAGTAAACTATGTGGCCTTTATTTCCAAGGAAATTAAAATGCTGACTTTGGGAAGACAAGGTAAGCACACAGAAAACAACAATAAATTACATAAATAAAAGGCTAAACTTTGTAGTGTGATTCAGAAGTGTGGTAGTCATAATTTTGACCTGGAAAACAAGATGTATGTTCTGACTCAAATATTGGCTTGGTTGTAAGATAAAAGGCTGGAAGAGTTGAAGTAATAACTACAATAAAATAGGCAAGTCAGGAAGTTCAGGCAGAAAGGACTCCATAAATGTAGATTTATATATTATGAAAAGATGGAAATCAAGAAAACTTACAATAGACAAGGAACATTTCTAGAAATGATGAGAATTGAAGCAGGGGGCAAGTAGATGGAAAAGAAGGAAAGGGAACAGGGCTAAGGACAGGAATTTTCTGATTAAGGTAAACACTAGATCTGAGAGCAAAAGAAAGTACCAACAGATAGCCCTGAAATGGATGATGGGAGAGCCATGTTGGAGGAGTATGATTAAACACAATAGGAATTTGGAGTTTCTATCACGGTTACTCCACTCCAAGCTTTATCATCCTTCTAGCCCACATCAATGCTTTTCCCTCTTAGCTCAGTCCTTATCTGCAAAGATTGAGCCTGGGAGAAAAGTTAGACCACAGTGAAGTTCAGACCAGATGATGAGGTTTCTAGGGCTTGAGAGGTGGAGAAATTATGTCTCAGGGAGGGGAGAATGTAATTACAGCACATCCACTAGTTGCTTTTGTTCCTAGTCACTTCCTTTTCCTCCACTTAGTCATTGTTCTTTCCTATTTTCCTAAATTGTCTTGGTATCATTTCACTCAGCCATACCCCCAGCTGGCATATACTCAAGGCAGAGAGGAAATCAACTGAACTCAGAGAGGAAATCAATGGAATCAGTTTAGGTTCATTAGTCTTTGCTAATCAACTGTTACTATGTGCAAGGAATTGTGCTGGGCATTGTAGGCATTCAAAGGCAATAAAATCATTGGTCTTTATGTTAAGGCACTCAAAATTTGGAATGGGGGTTATGTGAGGACATAAACTACTATGATGCAAGGATGTGGGTAAGAAATATTGTTAATTCATTGAGGATTAGAGGACAGAGTATGCTGTGGTAGGAAGGGAAAGCAGATGGATTCATGTAATAAAACTTACTTCTGCTTGCTCTAAGGTTTAAGTGATTAAAACTTTGTAAGAAAAGAATTTTGTAAAGGTTAAGTGCCACACATATATAAGTTATTATCGGATTGAAGGACCTATAAAGAAATAATGGAATAGATAAAATCTGAAATAGGTCCCAAAAGATGGGTAGAACTTCCATGAAGAAAAAAGAAACCATGGTTGTAAAATTTAGAGGGATGATCTGGGGAAAACTGATAGTTTTGTTAGCCACGGGTGATATTTGTGTAGCAGAGTAGTAGATGAGAAGTGTAACAATGCAGATTATGCAGGATGTGGGGGGAATTTGAATTTCAGGGCCGGGAAGAAACAATGGAGAAAAAAAGAGGGTGGAGGAAGAGGAGGTACTCTGATCTCTGATTATGAAATTGAAATGCAATTGAAAAACTTAGAAACCTGGGTGAAAGAGTTAGCTTAGCAGAGGGTGATGATGGATTTATTTTGGGATATAAATTTAAAGGGTAATCAAGACATTCACATGGAGAACAAGGAAAGTAGCTGGAAATACAGCTTGGGACCCCAAAGGATAATAGAACAATTATAGAAATGAAATAACTGAAGTAGTTGCATATCTGGTTGTGGTATGGCTGAGTGAGGAGATTTAAGATAGCCACCCAGATAAAGGGGCTCAGGAAATAGATGAGTTACAAAACAAAAATTTTTTTGACAGTGCTGAGAATCAAACCCAGGGCCTTGTGCATGCTAGGCAAGTGCTGTATTGTTACTCATATCTCTAACCCTTACTTTTTCTAAGTAAAAAATTATAAAAGTAATCTGTACTTATTTTAGTAATTCTAGTACTTCTAAAGTGTATAAATTAAACTTGGAAAGTTTCCTTCTTTATTCTACATTTGATTTAATTTTGATGATGGAGAAATGGGATAATCATTTCTTTTAATTCATGTTGCTTTCACAAGACTTTCATGGGATTTATTTTTCTGAGGACAATGCCAACTATATTTATTACAAGTAAATTTATGTTAACCCAGCCTTCTGATCTGCAGAGAGAAGAAATAAAAGGCAAAACCTCAGAAGGGAGGTTCAGGCTCTGGTCACTGGATAAAACCAGACAAAATTTATAATTTGCAAAAAATTTTAACAAATAAGTTTATTTTAAAATGTATTTTTAAGGCTGACATAACCTTAATCATTTTCTTGCAATTCACACATTTTACGTACTGCCTGTTCTATAAACTTCAGAGATCATTTCCAAGGCTTCTTGAGGATACTAGCCGCAGCTCTTCTTTTGGGAGCCTCCTAACATATCTCCCACAGCTTGTGGTACAGAGCTGGACAAGAGATGTTTCGTGTGGTGTGGTTTTGCTCTGTCCCTCCATGAAAAGAAAGAAGGACACCTTTTCATATTCTTCACATAGGCCAATTAATATAAATACACTCACATCCCATCCAGGAGTCAGACATACTCAGTTCCTCAAAATAGCCTTGTGTTCAAAAATGGAAAAGGCTGCCAAGCTAGAAAATAAATTCACATCTAATATCTGAGATTCTCAGGAGATTTCTGCATTTTACTCCATGGTTCTAATATTCTACATGTTTATTTAAAAGTAATTATATATTAGTGTTTAAATTCAACAGAGCTCCCTTTTTCTTCTGCCCTTAGTTAAATTGGGTTGTTGGAAATCTCAGGTAAGAAGAGGGAATGTTTGGCTTCTCTGAAATTAATTCACTTTTGCAAAAGGGAAAGGGACAAAGAGTTGGAGGGAGTGGAGGGAAAGAGGAGGGAAAGGGATGAAAAAAGAATTCACATGTGTTATATACAGGTACGAACACCTCCCCATGAAGTAATCATTATGTACTGCAAACATGTGCAAATAAAAATAAAAAATTTAAAAATAACATTAACTCACTGTACAGTGATGACATATAGTCAAAAGAGAGTCTGAAAAATTTTCCAGTGGGCTCTGGGAACACTTATTTAGTAAGAGGTTAAGTGCTACTATTTACTATAGCTTTCATTTCATTCATTCACCTACTAATGAATTAATTCATCATGTGCATTTGATAATATTGATTCATGATATTAAGACATTATATTCAGTATATAAGAGTTCTACAGACTCCAAAAGTTTTCATATAAAATTATATTAAGAGTTTTGCCACTAATGTGGTAAGCATTGAACATTTTGTAAAATTAATTTATATAAAATTCTTAATTCTCCCTTGATGCTTGGGAAAAATAAATGAATCACTACTATAAAATAAATTCTGTTTTTTAAATAATTCTTCAACGTCCAAGATAATCAGCTCTTACAAAACCTTGGGTGAAGTAGCTGGATCAAAACTCTTCCATGAATTCATGGCTAACTCCAGATTCCTTTCTCCTTTCCTTCTCCTCTCCTGGCCTGAGCAGCATGACTGAGGGGCTGGGCCAGCTCACAGATGGGGTGTCTGGCCTGGATGATTTCACCCAGACTCATGAATACCACGTGTGGCCAGGCTATGACTATGTGGGCTGGCGGAATGAGAGCGCCACCAATGGCTACATCGAGATCATGTTTGAATTTGACCGCATCAGGAATTTCACTACTATGAAGGTCAGTGGTGGAACTTCTTCAAGGAGACCAAAATCATAGCATGAGAGAGAAAAGCTGTAGTAGAAAGAACCCTGAGCTGAAACCAGCAGAACCAGGTTCAAATATGAATCCCACTATTAGCTAGTTACGTGTATTTCAAGGTTATTTCATCTCTAAGGGCTTTTTTCTTCATTTGTAAATTCTGTAAGGGAGTAAGGCTAAGTCAGTAATTCTCTCTCTCTCTCTCTCTCTCTCTCTCTCTCTCTCTCTCTCTCTCTCTCTCTCTCTCCCTCCCTCCCTCTCTCTCCTCCAACACTGGAGGCAACATATCTATTAGGCACAGCACTTATTCTATCAGCTTACTATTGCATAGGAGTTGAAAGAGAATTTAAGTGAATTTTGTAGAGTGGTTGGATGGAAGCCAAAGGCTTGAGAGAGGGCTAGAGACTGGTGCATGATGGACCACAGTAAATGCAGACACCTGAGAAGAGCTGGGTGAGAAGAATTCAGGTCTAAATTCCATTTCCTCTGAAGCAGGACCTTGCAGGGGAGCCCAACCTTTTTGTTAGAGTTGCAAATATCTCTGTTAATAAGATGATGTGTTTCTTGGTATTTAGCTCAAATAACTATTTTCCTTTTCTGTTACTAAACCTCACATCTGTTTCAGAGAGAAAGGAGTGGAAGAGTAGAAAAGTCCATGCAAAAAGTAACCATATTAGGGCAGGGGAATTAGTTCAGTGGCACTGCACCTGCCTTGCAAGTGCAAGGTCCTGAGTTCAATCCCTGGTACTGGAAAAAAAAAGTAACCAGATTCATTAGCTAGAGAGAAACTAGGACTCAGGAATGTGGAGGAAAGTCCTTCTGTCTGATGTAAGAAAGAGGCCACAGGATCTGTTTGTAGTTCTTATATAACTCACTGATTTATGAAGGAGCATGACGGTGCCCTCAATATGTCTCAAGAAAAAAGAGTGGGCAAATGAATTTGACTTCACACATGGAAATATACTTTTTACCCATTAACAGTTGAGTGTAGAATAATAATGACTAACAAATTGATGACTCTGCCTCTATTCTTGGACCCCAGTTTCAATATTTGTTTCCTAAGTTTATCCATTCTTCTGTTTGTTATTAATTTACCAACTACACTTGGAGCCTATGTAGTATTACACTATGTTTAAAAAAGTAAATGAGAAATGGGGCTTGTCTTGGGACACATTACAAATCAGGGAAGATACTATTTATTTATTTGCCAAAGGTGGAATGTAAGATCACATGGGAGCTAGAAGAAGGAAATCTGTATTGTTATTAAGGATTCCTAATAATGCAAAATTTGTTAATCCCCACACAAACTAGGTTTCTAAAAGAAAATGTGTGTCTTTTATTTCACTCCCAGATGTTAAAGTGATAATATCTCCTAGCTAGATTAAAAGCTATTAGTTAAATGTCCAGACATTTAAGATGAGAACAAAAGGATCAACATATGCCCAATATGTTAGTTTATTTTTCAAGGATGGCTCTTTGGCAGTTGTTAAACATAAGTGTGTACAATTATGTGTAATACTTTATTCTTCCCAGGTTTTGTAGGGAGTAGGGCAAGAAAGAAAGGGATATACAAATTATAACAAAACTAATATTTTGAATAACAAAAATATACTTTGAAAGAAAATTTGTATTCCTAAATATTGTCTATATCCATATGTACTTGTGAACATGTGCATAAATTCACAAGTAAGTATCACTGGGAGGATTCCTATTCCAACAAATAATGAACTGTATTTTAAACTTTCAATAAATTTATACTATCTAGTCAAAAGACATCTTCCTGCATCTCTAGGATTCTGTTTAACTAGGTTGTCACAGGTCAAAATTATTTAAGAACTTAAATTGCAATGAGAAGGTGCTGGGATCTTCTCCAGAGAAAATTCAGGGCCAACAGATTTCCAACATATTTTAATTTTTTTGAGACAGAAAGTAAAAAGAGGAATTTCAGGCAACTGATGTCATCTAGAGAGTATTATCTGCCTCCTGAGCAAATTTCTATTCATTTCCCCTTTGAGGCATAGTTAAAAGATACCATTAAAATAATAAATGTGTTTTTTTAAATGTATTGTTTTATTTAAATAACTGTGTAAGATCATATAAAAATGAAATCCTATGCTATTTATTTGCATTCCAGGAGAATTCCAAAGACATCTGTAGGAGAGATTATTATCTTCCCCACAGGATATTTAGCCAACGCTTTGCAGATTTCAAAACATCTGAAAAATCTATTGAAGCTGTAGATAGCTATTTCTTTTTTTTCTTAGCCCTACTCCATTGACTTGTGTTCAAGAAACTGGAACAGTTAATTCATTCTAAGGAAGATATTAACACGTGTTTTCATCAGTAAAACATTTGAAGAAAAATACAAATTTAAAAGTGATTGTCTTCTTTTCTATGTGGCATAATCTGAGAAAGAGCACTGAGCTAGGAGTCTAGGGCTATAGAGCCAGTTGTATTGTTGATTGATCCTCCGCAAGCCAACCTTCTCCGGGCACCAGTACCTCATTAGCAAACAACATGTGATGTTACGTTATGTTTACAATAGCTTAGATACTCTATCCTTAGTGTATCTCTTATCCAGTCTTTAGTCATTGCTGTTCCTTCTTCAGCTAAAAATAAATTCCATATTATAGTCCTGTGTTGACTATCCAGCAGCCAGAAGGAAGGATCAGGATGAGACAGTTAAAGCCTTGTGACTCCAATGCAGGCAAGACATTAAAATAGAAACAGGAAGTATATTACTAGAATGACAACTGTGTCTTTCCAAGCCATGAAGTCCTTAAATTCAAGGAACAGTGGCCCAGTAAAGATCCATTTTCCACATGAGATTGAATCAGGGGAAATGTTATTGAACTACCGCAAGGGCCTTGATTCAGTTCCAAATATATACACATCTTTTTTGTGGGTTGCTAAGCACAGCAAGGTGCTATAGATGGATTGTTGTGGAATCTTTGCCCCTGATGTCTCCAAACGCCTTTCAAATATCCTCGTTAAATAGTCCCAGCGGAGAATGCCAGTGAACTTCCTACAGACTTTCTTTTATCTTTGCAGAAATTATCTATGAGAAAAAGTCAATGCTCTTATCCCAATGATACTACTTAAGATGAATTTGATTAAGAGACATGACTAAGCCTGTGTCTCTGGCATGAAAAATGCTAACATGTGTGCTTGAAATGAGATTTCCAAAAAGAAAGATGAAATTGTATTGGTTTGTATATTACATTTTTCCAGATTTTGAAAAGGAGCAGTCTGGCTTTGGAAAGCACCTAGCAGCAGTAAGATGGCAGTCTTCTTCAAATCCTCAAATATGGCTCAGAATAAATAGCTGAAATATGCCTAGATAGCAACTGTGGTTGAGAGAAATGTGGACTCAAGAGAGTTCAGGGTGAGGAAGGACCTTAGAGAATGCTGGCTCATCTCTCATTTAGCAGATAAGGATACTGCAGCTCAGCACGGTGAAGGGAAGTGGCCCAGGCACAGTTGCAGAGGTAATTGGGCTTACAGCGAGGTTTTATAAGTCCTGACCAGCGTATCATTATCACTTCAAAGTCCTTGGCAACAAAGATCCAGAAGACTGCAGAGCACCAGGATTGGTGCTCAGAGAAACAGACAGGATTAGGCTTCTACTGGGTTAGCTTGCACCATGTTCCCATGTAACCTAGCAGGGCCAACCTGTTATTCACATGCCTCTTTCTCTACCAGGTCCACTGTAACAACATGTTTGCTAAAGGTGTGAAGATCTTTAAGGAAGTACAGTGCTACTTCCGCTCAGAAGCCAATGAATGGGAACCCAGTGCTGTCTCCTTCCCCCTTGTCCTGGATGACGTCAACCCCAGTGCTCGTTTTGTCACAGTTCCTCTCCACCACCGCATGGCCAGTGCCATTAAATGCCAATACCATTTTGCTGACACCTGGATGATGTTCAGTGAGATCACCTTCCAATCAGGTGGGAAGCATGGGATCCCATGGGGCAGTAGGAATAGGTGAGGGAGGAAGCAGATGAACATCTAGGTTCCCACAGGCAGGTGTCCAACAGGAGCAGGGTTATATAGGTGGCTTCTCATTGGATGGCAGCAGGAATTCTTGTGTTGCTAATTTTAATCATGGAGGCATTTAATTATAAACCAGAAATGAACAGAATATTTACTTGACTCTTCATACATTGTCTAGAAGAGAGGTATGGTAAAATTTTTAAAATGATAACATGATATGTCAAAAATGATACACACTAAGGCTATTAAGAAATATGATTAAGGTGTTCAAATGAAAATCTCTAAACATTATACACAGAAGTAAAGAGAGCAATGTATCTCTATCAATCACTCAGCTTTACTGTCAATGTTTTGCCACACTTGTACGACTTACTTTACTCTTTTTTTTTGCTAAAGTATATTAAAGAGAATCTGAAATATTATTTGATTTTATTACTAAAAATTTTGGAATGTCTCTAAGAAAGTAACATTGGCTTTCTAGGCATAATATAATTATAATAGCCTATAATATTTATTAGTACATAATTCCTAAGTATCTCCTATATCCTGTCCATATTAAGTATCTCTTATTGTCTAATTATGCCTTGCTATAGTTGTCTTCATTGAAGTATGATTCAAACAAAGGCTTTTTGGTGAATTTTCTTAATTATACCTCCTAGATGTCTCTTTTAATCTAAATCAGTTCCCTGTTTTTTAAAAGAAATTTATTCTGGCGTTGCCTTTGCTTTCTGTGGCGTTACTTTACTCAAGTTTCTACCCTGTGTCGGTCCTGTAAACTAGAAGTTATTAGCTAATTTGATTTAAGTTCAATATTTATTTTGTCAAGAAGCATTGTGTATTTTATGTTAAACTTCATCATGGGAATGTAATGTTGGACTCCTTCACTTTTAGTGGTAGAAAGAGTGATTTCTGATTTTGGGTGGTTGCTTCTCTGTGGGAAAGTTTCCTGTGAATTTTGGTGTAGGTTTTACTCTGTATTGATAAGCTCCACCTGAATGATTTATTTCACTAAATAGGATTGCTAAATAGTGATTTTTAAATTCTTTTATTCTTTCTACACTTATTAGCAGGATTTCTGCTGAATTTCCTCATGTGCTTGTTCATCCTGAAATGTATTTCACATTGGAAAGGCAGGATAGATGTTGTTTCTCCTTTAATTGTTTATGTTCAGAGTCATGAACTGATGTCTTAGCAATCTTCAGTGATGTCTAACGTTTAGTTCTCACCCCTATTTTATCTTTTTGTATCAGTAGCCATTCATTGCTTTTTATAAATTCAGTGTTTAGTCAATTGCAATTATTAGTCTTTTTCATGCTCAAGTTGTCCTATCTTTAACAAGAGTCTGCACTTTTAAGCTATCTCTGTGTTTTTGGATCTAACTTTAAATAAGCCTCCTATAAACTTCTTGTTTTCTGAAAGAGAAAGATGTACCATGCTCATCTGGAACATTTATTTACTGCTCCAGATGTGAAAGCAACCATTTTCTGGTGAAAGTAACCATTTTCTGAAGAAATCTTGATTCTTCAGAGGGGAATGTTATCTAGAGAGCACAGACTGGGCAATAACAATGCTCATTGCTATTGGGTTGTTATTGCTTCTTGGATTTTTTTAAATGGGAAAGGTGAGGAAATATATATATTTAAAAAGAAAAATATCAGGATTTCATATTGCTACTTCTAATTCAAATTAAAGATAATAAGGTTTTTACCTAAATTGGATTGCATACTTGGATCTGTTTATTCATTCTAAATATCATATTCCCTAACAATATTAGCAACAATTGCTTTAGCTACTATTCAAAAAACCAACATCAATACCTTTACTAATATTAGAAATATTGTGTAGGCTTTATGATTTCTTTATAATTCCCTTTTCTTTATCTTTAGTGTATAGCCTATGAGGATAAACAATAGAAATACCATGCTCTGATGTCAGTTAGAATGAGAGTCAGATAATGATTTTCTCTGGGTAGTTATGTCATAAACATGATACACAGATAGATTCATTTTCTTCAGTTTGTTTCAACTCTTAGGGATTTGTTTTAAACACTAAGAACTATTCCTGACTGTGCTATTCTTTCTCTTTCCCTCTCTCTCTGACTCCCCTCTCTCAGGGTCTTCACACTGAGCTATATCCCAGGTCCTTTTTCAATTTTTTTTATTTTTTTATTTTTTATTTTGAGAAAGGTATCACTAAATGGCCTATGGTGAGCTCAAACTTACAATCCCTCTGCCTCAGCCTCCCAGAATACTGCGATTACAGGTGTGCACCATACACCTAGCTTTGTTGTACTACTATTGAGCAAATAGTGATTGAACTTACTGGAGCCAGGCACTGTGCCAAATCTTAAAAAGTTAGAAGACATTTTAAGACATTTTTCATACCATGAGATTTTAGATGGGGAGATAAATATACAATGATTTTTCAAAACATATCTAAAGTAGTACCAACCATAAGTGGTCACGAGAGGGGCAGTAGAGAGTAAGTTTGTTGTGAAAAACATAGGAGTAAGTAAACACAAAGGAGTAAGACTTTTCGCAGGCCTGAAAGAAAGCACAGGCATAAGGTAATAGAAAAGGAGAGACTAATCTAGCAATAAATTGGAGGAACTTATCCTTTATGATTTGATTTTTTAAAGAGGAAAATTTCAAAATGTACTGAGAGAAACTAGAGCACATGTTTAGAAAACAGGTTTGGTGCCAAATGCCTTCTGTACCAATGATTTAATCTTAGAGTAAATGAGTTAATTATTTTATATGAAATATCTATTGAGAGCAGAAATTCAGATGCTCAAAAGTAGTGCCATTTGTACTGTGTCAACTAGGGGACAAATAGATTCCCATCACCCTTAGGGATTCTCTTGGCCAAGTAATTGGTGCGCTTAGTTATTTTGGCTTGGTGTAGCTATGGACTATGGCTTTTGACTCTTGGGATTTCTTAAGTTTTAAATCCTATGCCATGATAATATTAGTTTTTGTTGGAGCCTGAGATCTGAAATCAGAGTACATATTGATGCCAGATACCTCCCTTTTTGTATAATAATGTTAAGAAGAAGAAAAATTAGAATTTTTGGAAGGAGTGTCTCTTTTGAGGAAAATGCATATTCAAAATCTTGACCCTTGATTCCACAAATCAGAGGGAAAAATTAGTGGCCATTACCAGACTGGTGAATACACTTTTAGGGTCTTGACTCAGAGGCCACAGCCTCACAGTAAAGGATAATATTGAACAGTATCAGCACTCCAATGTCAATAATTTATCTTAAGAATGAATGAAGCCTTCCTTTTAAGTTAAGGAGCCAGGACAATGGGGCATAATGGAAACACTTTTATAAAACAATTTAATTTTCTTAAAGGAAAGAGCATCTTAGCATTGTGTCTATCTAGTGCTCACCAACTCACTGTATTTTCTATGCTTTTCTGGATTTTTGCCCTGCCTCCTATGCATACTTTTTGATGCTATGTAGTCACAGCCCTCTGAACCACCATTTCTTAACTCTTGCACTGCAATATCTAGTATATAAATTTTGAGAAGAAAAAATTTGCAAAAGAAAAGTTGCTTTACTATGTAAATGGTTATATTTTTGCTTGGGTCTTTTTTTTTGGTAACGCGGATTGAACTCAGGTCCTTGCACTTGTGAGGCAGGTGGCGGAACCACTGAGCTAAATCCCAGGCCCCAATGGTTATATTTTTATTTATTATTTCCTTTTATATCATGTTGATATAATTGTGTGGTATTTCCATATATGTATACATTGTATAATAACTAATTTATTTTTTTTTAAAATACTGTTGGCAGTCCACTCTATTGATTCACAATGTTCTAGGTTTCAGTCTGCCTTTATATAAACAACTACCTGGCTGTATTCTCCCCCAGCTCTGACTTACTCTTGTGTTGTAACAGATGCTGCAATGTATAACAACTCTGGAGCTCTGCCCACCTCGCCTATGGCACCTACAACCTATGGTATGTGTGGTTCCTAATTATAAAAATTAAGTTGAAGGCACCTCTTGTAGGAAGGGTAGAAATTTGCAAAGGAATGTCTGTGTGGGAGGCTTGATTGCAGATGGCTTACATAGAAAGGTAGGACAGTCCACCTCTGAAGTTAAGGGCACAAACTTTCTCTCTTCATTGCTTATTCCTATGATTTTCAGCAGGAGAAGCAGAAGCTAGAATGTTCCAATTACTTAGCATGAAAGTCTGGTAAACTTGGGGTGGTAAAAGGGAAAGTGACATACCTGAGACCCATAGAAGAGATTTCAATGAATGGGAGGAAGCCTATGAAAAAAAAAAAAGAAAGAAAAAAGGTTGTATCTGTAGTTGGAGATAAGTATGTGAATATGTAATTTTCTGCTTCAGGAAATCACTGGCCACCCAGCCTGCAATGTGGGAACTTGTGATTGCTTGTCTCCAAAGAGGAGACACAGCTACCTTGGCCTGTCTCAGGGAATAAGGATAGTGAAACTAGTTCCTCACCTGTTTGGCATGGGTGTGATTGGGAGCCTGTAGATTCTTGGCCTTGGTAACATAGGGACAAAATTTTGGAAAAATGGAAAAATTTTTCCTTATCCAGCCTGAGACATAGGGAGAGGGAGGCTACTGTCTCATGGAAGAGGACTGTAGGATATAGAAGCAAAGTAATAAAACGGTGGCAAGATCAAGAATAAGTAGAAATATTATATCTTCTGGAATTATCTTGAAGGAACAGGATAACCATTCCCTCAGTCCAGTCCCTCATGCTTTTACATTCCCTGCCTTCTCTTCCTGTTCTCAGATCCAATGCTTAAAGTCGATGACAGCAACACTCGGATCCTGATTGGCTGCTTGGTGGCCATCATCTTCATCCTCCTGGCCATCATTGTCATCATCTTGTGGAGGCAGTTCTGGCAGAAAATGCTGGAGAAGGTGAGGGGTACAGAATGGACAAAGACAGGAAGCTGCACCTTGTTTTTCTGAGCTGCTATTGCCTCAGGAGTAAAAGGCAGACTATAAGAATGTATTTGCTACAGAATTACAAGAGGCTACCAGGAAGCATAGGAATGAAGCCAGAAAAAAATTTGATAAGTCAATATTCTCAGTTTTAGAATCAAGATTTTAGAACCTCTTTAGGAATCTCAGAAGCTTTCTTAACACATTGACTATCAACTTGGACATTTTCCATGAAGATTCTTATTCACTAGGTTTTAAGGTGGAGTGCAGGTATCTGTACATTTTCATTTAATGTGTAATTCTGACCCACATTCAAGGTTGATAATCTGTTTAATGCCTAGTTAAAGTATCTGATAATACTATTGAAGTTTTTTCTCTTTTTTTCTGTTTTTCACTTGTTTTTAGAAGGTAGGAGGGAGAGGGAGGCTGGAAGGGAGGAGAGAGAGAGAAGGAGAGAGGAGAGTAAAGAGAAGAGAGAAGAGAAAGAGAAACACATTCAACATCATTAATATCCAAGTCAATTTCCTTACAACTCTATCCCCATTTCTTTGTGTATTTGAAGGTTGTAATTATATGTTCCTCTGAGTCCTTTTTCTTTCTGTCTAGGTCAAATGATCTGAATAATTTTATTATACTTACCCAATATTTCATAGTCTTCAAAGACTTTTTTCTCATGTATCATTTTATATGAATCTCTGAGTAACAATGAGATGGGCATAGTTGTATTAAATTATTTTTTCGATGAGAAATTGTGATGTGCTCAAGGTCATACAACTAGTATTCTGTGTTCTATGCACTTTCCATTTGTAAATACAGGAATATGTTAAAATCTTTCTCCCAAAATTTATACATTTTACTGAGAGTGGAACATACCCATCTTTTTCTTGGCTTCTTAGGCCAGATAACAACTTCATGGGCACTGCTGCTAAATGTTGGATTCTCTTGGGATCCACTGCTGCTGATGGTTCCAACTTAGACCATACACACTTTACCTATGCAGTGAGTTCCTCTCAATGGACTTGGGCTGAAGGAAGTCCTGGACACTGTCCTGTGAGGTTTTGAATTGCCTATAGAGGGCAAAGGACAAGGAAAGGGGCATTGCCTGGTTGATCTCTGTGTTCATGGGTCTCTCAGAGGAGGTCAAAGCCTGTGTGGAGTATACTCCAGAGGAGGGCCAGGGAACCATGTGAATGACCTTGAATCTTCAGAACTCTCTGAATGTAGACCGGAGAAAAGAGGCTCTCACCCAACAAGTGAGAGGACTACCCAATTACCCTGCAATTCCTTCTGACTTGCTCCACATTCAAGCTTCCGAGATGGTTGAGGTTTAAAGTGTTTACACAGGAATATTCACAGCAAAGAACGTCACCATGCTTCCTACAAGGATCTCTACTCTCAGTCTGAAGACATTTTACCTAAATTAAAGCTGTAAGTGCATAAATAGCATGTGAAAATTGAAAGGCAGAATTCACAGAGAGCTGGACCACTGGCATGACTGTTTCAAGACATCAATAAGGTGATGTCAAGACCTTTCCTTAGACAAAAGTAAGAACAAAAGTTTTGCCTTGAATATTTGACTTCATTCTTCAAGAAATTCTTCCAAATCTTGTAGATCCCAAGAAGATAACTCAAAGTGAGCTGGAACGACACTTGGGGGATTTCTTCCTGGCATTAGAACTGTGTGTGTGTGTGTGTGTGTGTGTGTGTGTAAAATTTGTAAGCACACACATACATTCCACGGACTTTACTTAACATATGCTGTAGCCTGTGGTATTATTTTTAGGATACTTTTGATGGGATTCTCAGCATTGATCCTTTGAGAAATTCAACCCACATTTATTGAATACCTACTACTTGTTGCGCTGCATGGTAATACTGGGGCTTTTACTGTAAGAAAGGACCTTGTAGTCTGGTGGGGGAAGTAAGCACCTATGTTTCTCCATTAAGCACCCACTTGGAGTGGAGAATTTCACATGTTTAAATCCAAATATATTCAGATTCTAGAATTTTTTTTTTTTTCTGGAACAGGCAGGGGACCAAAGATGGTATGCCATAAGAATTAGTCACTTCAGTCTTCTTCCTGTAATAGATATAGTTTGACTTGGTAAAGTAAGATTTTCTTTTCTCATTTTGTAGCCATTTTATTTTTGGTTCATAAAAATCTAGGGCCAAGTGGGGGATGGTTATCCTAATTTACAGTGCTAGGATGATCAGATGAACTGTTAATCCATTGGGTAATAGCACTGTTACTGAGTTTGAATATTTTAATTTATGTTGACCCCCAATCAAAGCAGTTAAGTGGTAATTCAGCAAAATTCATTATTTACTAAAATGCAGAATCTATGAGTCATAAGATCTGTGGTTACTGATTGGTTCCCATATCATTATATAAATAATGCTTGTAAGTGCTCAATGAAAGTTAACAATACAGAGACAGGGGGTCAAATTCTGCCTTGAAGAAATAGGAAATTATTTTTTGAGTTTCTACAACACAAGCATTTGTGGAGCCAAACTGCACCCCTGTCACAGTGTTACTGGGGCTTAGCAGGAGAAAACTGAATGGAAGAGCTGGGTTTCAGAAGGGGAGGAACTGCTGGTCCTCTTTATACCAATGTGGTCTCCTCCTGGCTCTTTTCCAGGCTTCCCGGAGGATGCTGGATGATGAAATGACAGTCAGCCTTTCCTTGCCAAGCGAGTCCAGCATGTTCAATAACAACCGCTCCTCATCACCTAGTGAACAGGAGTCCAACTCGACTTATGATCGCATCTTTCCCCTTCGCCCTGACTACCAGGAGCCATCCAGATTGATACGAAAACTCCCAGAATTCTCTCCAGGGGAAGAGGAATCAGGTGAGACTGAAATAGAGGGGAGAGGTTTGAGAGAGAAGCCTTGACACAAATACATAGGTGCAACACTCTTACTTCTAGGTAACCAAATCTTTTCTGTTCTATGCTAACCTCCTTAGTAATCCACATACTCTTTCTAGACTTGAGATTTCTCCTTGGCCATTGAAGATAAGGTGTTCTGAGGAACCCACATGTCAGAAGATGAAGAAAAAGATAAAAGGTTACTAGGGTGTTAAAACCCGAAGAACTCAAACACTTTTATTAGTCTAATCTGCTCATTTCACATAGAAGAAAAGTAAAGAGGCTCTGATGAATTACTCAGGCAACACCACACTTTACTATGAGTGAATTCAGGACTGGAGTTTCACAAGGAGGAAAAAAAAGATAAATGAAGCTAGAGATATTTTGAAATTCTCAATCTTGTAGCCATCTGGATAATTGAGTAATCTATTTTTTTTGGTCAATTTCTCTTTGGTAAACATTTGTTAGGGTAATACAAGAATGTATTATGAGATTAAATATTTTTTGCCTTTTCTCAATAAAAGTATTAAGTAAGACACTGCCAGATGATTCAAATCCCAGTGTCTTTTAAAAAGTCCAGAATGACATCAGAAGTGATGCTGGGATCATCCCTGAAGCTCAGAGCAGCTTTTTCAGAAAGTCATCAACCTAAGAATGACCCATGTCAGTGGAAGGGGACTTGTGATGTTCAGAGGGGAGGAGTCGAGGCTGAGCCAGGTATGGAATGAGGTGTGGAAGATGACAGAAGACAGGGTTCCTGGGGAGCCAGCTGGAAGGGGTCTTCTAGAAGGAAGAAAGAAACTGACATCTATTCTTTCACTTAATAGATAGAAAATATTGAAAGAGCACACTTAATTCACAGGATTTCAGAGTCAACAAGACTAATGAATATAAACTAACTTATTTTCTAGATTGAACTAATTTACCTGTTTTCTAAAGTCTAAAATATTCCCCACCTCATATTTTAAATTTCTAAAAATTCAGGATATGTCTTAAACAAGATTCTATAGATTTAATTTGCTTTTAAATCAATGACAGTGTCCTAAAAGTAAGAAAATATGATTTAACAAACCTTGCATCTTTAATACTCTCATCTTGATAGGGCATGAGGCTTCCTATAGTTTTGCCATGCAATTCCACAGGATGAGACAGGGCAATTGTAAATGATAATGATTCTGAGACAAGAATAAGGAACAAAATGGTAGACTCTATTCTGAAGTCCAGAGAAAGAGCCTGGGAAGCAAAACTTTTTTAAGTAAGACCATCATGAAGAAGATTAAGTTGTCATAGCGGCAGGTTCTAGTTGTCTTCTCAGATGTTTTTTCTTTAAAAGATCTCCAAAGATGTCCCTTGGATTGAGGCCTGTGGCCCTTATCTTCCAGGCTGCAGTGGCATTGTGAAGCCAGTCCAGCCCAGTGGACCTGAGGGGGTGCCCCACTATGCTGAGGCCGACATCGTGAACCTCCAGGGAGTGACCGGAGGCAACACCTACTCAGTGCCTGCTGTCACCATGGACCTGCTCTCAGGAAAAGATGTGGCTGTGGAAGAGTTCCCCAGAAAACTTTTAACGTTCAAGGAGAAGCTGGGAGAAGGCCAGTTCGGGGAGGTGAGCTGATTTTCTGTATGGCCTCCAGTCTTTGGTAGCTTGAAGGAAGTGGGTCAGTACAGCAAATTGCCCATTTCACAAGTTGATTTACAACCAAATGTCTCCTCTACTCATCTTTCTTTGGATTATTCTCTGGATGAGAAGCGTTAAGTCAACCTCATCTCTGTTAAATAGCTGTGGAAGGCCTGAGACTTCTATACAGGAGTTTTTAAGGCAGGCAAAACGTTAGACATCAGAAAACCTGAAACACATTCAGTACTTTTCAAAAAATATGTCTACAGTATGTTACAGGGGGTGGGGCTGACAAGATGTGATCATCTTTTATGAATTGTCCAGGAACACCCTGCTGCTTGATAGTCACTTTTTTTTTTTTCCTTTTTAATGAGAGTTATATGAAAAATGGTCAAAAACAACCTCACCCAGGCTGCTGATCCCAGAATTAGCCACTAGGGAATGAATCACCACTAAGATAAGGAGGAGTCCTCTCTTAATTGCCCTCAGAGTGATGCATGTAATATTAAACTTTCAGACACATGGGCTTTGGAGAGCTCAAAGCAGTGTTTTCAGTTGTAAGAGGAACTTTTCAGCACCGCCATCTAAACCCCGCCTCGTTTCACATAAATATATCATAGGTGTTCAGTATGGGTCACATGCTCTCCCTCTGGATAGACCTGGTGTTGCAGCAGGTATAGGGGCCCAAGGCATCTGTTTGTAGTATCATTTATATTCATTCTGACGCCTGCATTGAGAATTCACTCTCATTATACTTTTACTAATATATAGAAGCATTTGCAATGTTAAACCCCACATTAAGGGATTATTTTAGGAAATTGCTTTATGTTTTGTATTATCAGGTAACTAATACTTTCTCAAATCAAGAGTTCAAAATTTTATAGTGAGTAACACTTTATTGTGGGGCTATGCTATACTGAAACACTATTGATATTTCTTTTATAAGGAAGTAAGTGTCATCTTAGCTGAGTACTTTACTGTTGCTTTAAGCTATATTAATAATCAAAGATATGTTGCACATATCTTATTATTGTCTTTGATTATTTTGCCTGAGTTGTAAGAGTTAGTTTATCTCCAGGAAATGCCCAGCAAGAGTACTGAGACATCTTCAGGAGAAATGATGATGCTGAGACTAGATGACTTTTGTCTAGGTTCATCTCTGTGAAGTGGAGGGAATGGAAAAATTCAAAGACAAAGATTTTGCCCTAGATGTCAGTGCCAACCAGCCTGTCCTGGTGGCCGTGAAAATGCTCCGAGCAGATGCCAACAAGAATGCCAGGTCTGTTGTCGCATTTTGAATTGTCCTTTATTTATTTCATCTTTATGATCAGGAATATTCCTGGAAACATCTAAGCATATTTTTCTTTTGAGGTTGGAAGATCTGTGAACTGCCTCATACTGCTATTCTTGTGCTTTGTTTTCCTAATGAACTCAGAAGTCCTCATCTTTTTCTCTACCTCTTTTGAATGTACATTTTCTATTATATTTGCCACATATTTATTTCCTAACTCCCTTTGCATACACCTATACTTTTCAGTACACACAACAGTCCAGATGTGTGCTTCCTCAATCATTACATACAGATGTACTCTGAGTGTCATAACCTTTTCTTGGCAGACTCTTCACAATCACACACATCTTTCTTGCTAAGCCTTTCCATTCTTTTTCTCACATCTCTATTTACTTTCTCATCATCTTTTCTCTTTTGTGCTCCTTTTCTTCGATGTTGTGCAACCCCCAAAATGAAAGCTACCTCTACTTGGAAAAGCATCCATGGACCCCGAAGCAAAAGGATCCACAGTCTTTAGCAGCTTTCCAAACTGGCTATTAATTCTTGGATCCTTTACAACATAAATTGCAGTGTCCAGCCGCACTCTGTTGTCTGACACCCTTTCCATTACAGTAATGGTGAGTTAATCCTCACCCAGAGAGGCATGCTGGTTGAAAGGTGGTTGTCTGAGTCCCAGAGAAATCTGCACATCTGGATAACATCTGCATTTTCCCATTTGCCTTGTCTTGTCTCACTGATATTCATAGTGAGAGTAAATTTATTATTCCTATTCCCCAAAGTACTGTTAAATTCCAAAAATGATGATAGGTTTCATTAAAAGCCTTGAAAAGGAAAGGAAATAGAATGGAGAGAAAGATGAGAGAATGGAATGATGGAGATTTTCAAATTATAACCCAGAATTTCCATCTTAAGGATGTTAGTGTGAGTGAAAGTGACATTTTCTGGATCCCATAGAAAATTGGAGCATTCCTTATATTAATCTTAGCACATGATTAGAAAAAGTGGCAAGGAGAAAAAGCCACAGGATATGATAAAGCCTTTGTCTGTTGTTTTGATTGGAGAGGTTTGCTGTACTCCAACTGTAACTACCCTGGTTTAGCAGCAATGGATGGCTCAGACTGCAGAGCCTCCCAAGCCAGGGAAGCCCCTGATTTGGGGTCAAAGGAAACATGAAAAAAAGGAGATATCGAATCAGAACTAAATTGGTTCTAAGAATTTATATTGATATAGTATGATGTTCAGTGCAGGATTCCCATAAAACTCATGGGATACTTGTAACTCAGCTCCAGCAGTTTTTGGGAGTATGGGCTAGTGGCCTCACTTGATGTAAAAGTCGCTCTAAGGTGGCTGTCGCTAGGTACTGTAATAATTACTAGTCTTGGCCAAGTGAGTACTTCTTTAGAAATGACCCCATCTTGCCACCATGACCCTTAAACAGCTGTGTTTGAACAGGCTACTAAATGCATGTTGTGACTGCTGATTAAGTCTGCATTAAGAAAAGCCAACAGAGGAAAGTAAAGAATCATCATATAGGTCAGTGGGTGGTCATCCACTTTATAAAAACATCTTTTGCTTTATTAATAGAGTGATTTTGTAGCTTTTAAAAGGTAAATATTCTTGTGGACTCAAGATATGATTTTCAGTGAAAAGTTTCATTTTGCAGTTTTTTTAAATAAATATACTTGATTCAGCAAATATTAAAAATTAATGATTGGGCCGGGGATTTAGCTCAGTGGTTTCATCGCCTGCTGCGCAAGTGCAAGGACCCGAGTTCGATCCCCGGTACCAAAAAAAAAAAAAAAAAAAATTAATGATTGAATATTTTCATGTGGGAGGCATTTTGTAAATACTAGGCATGCAAATGTTGATAAGTCATTTGCCTCATTCTCAAAAACATTGCAGTTGAATAAAGGTCCACCATGTTCCAGTAGCAGTAGAATGAGGTACTTCTGGGTGCCAATTTCTCTGTTCCCTCAAAGGTCTTCCGAAGGCAAACAAGTCTTAGTGGAATGGGAAGGAAGCGATGTTACAGTTAATTCTTTCCCCTTTTGAGTCTCACTCTGGGAACCTCTGGGTTTATCTATGTCTGTCCTCCAAAGGAACGACTTCCTTAAGGAGATAAAGATCATGTCCCGGCTGAAGGACCCAAATATCATCCGTCTCTTAGCTGTGTGTATCACTGAGGATCCTCTCTGCATGATCACGGAATACATGGAGAATGGAGATCTCAATCAGTTTCTTTCCCGCCATGAGCCTCCCAATTCCTGCTCCAGCAATGTACCCACTGTCAGGTAAAATCAGCCATGTTTTCTATCTTTTCTCTGTGGTCATGAGTGTAACCAGGCTGTAAAGATGAGAAGCAGTGACCCCTAAAGTTCATTATTGTCCTGGGCTGTTGGGGAGGATTAGTGTGCAGTGGATAATGCAAAGGGATTCATGAAGAGTATAGCAAGGGCTGGGCATGGTGGTGCACGTCTGTAATCTCAGCATTCTGAAAGGCTGAGGCAGCAGGTTTAAGCCCAGTTTGGGTAACTTAGTGACTTAGGGAGATTTTTGTCTTAAAAGAAAAATTAAAAATTAAAAAGGGTCTGGGAATGTTATCTCAGCTTGCTCTGGGTTCAATCCTGAGTCACACACACACACACACACACACACACACACACACACATCCCAGAGGGGATGTTGAAGTTTAAATCCTGGTTGGTTGATATCAGTGTGAATGTGTGCTTCTCATGGCCTCCAGTTTCAATATGCTTTCTCCTTTCTTGTGTATTTTCCTTGTATATTTCCTCAGTTATGCCAACCTGAAGTTTATGGCTACCCAGATTGCTTCCGGCATGAAATACCTTTCCTCTCTTAATTTTGTCCATCGAGATCTGGCCACACGGAACTGCCTAGTGGGTAGGAACTACACCATTAAAATAGCTGACTTTGGAATGAGCAGAAACCTATACAGTGGTGACTATTACCGGATCCAGGGCCGGGCGGTGCTCCCCATCCGCTGGATGTCCTGGGAGAGCATCTTGTTGGTGAGTGAGTTCCTCACATTTGTGAAGCCAGTCCGGGTAGTTGAGGCTTAGGTAGCTCACAAAGCAGGGTGGGGCCAGACTGGAGACAGCAGGAGGCAGCTCTGAACACTTTGTTATTTTCTCTCACTTGAGAAATTTTTCTTTGTGTACTAATTATTATTTAACACTCATTCATGTCTGCTGATAAAAAAGCAGCACTCTTGTAGAAAATTTAGAAAAGAATATTAACAATGAGGGCTTCAATATCTTTTTCTCTCTCCTCCATTGATTGGTCTCAATTAATTTAGAATATGAAAAACTTTATCATTTAAATAAATGTTATCCATACAAATTTTTCCAAAAATGTTTGTCCTGTATTAATTTCACAGCTATCTTCTCATTAATTATTGGACCTATCCTCACATTTTTGTTTTACATATTATTACCATTTGCTTTTTTTGTTGTTGTTACTGTGGATCAAATTCAGGACTCTGAGCTTGCCAGAAAGGTGTGGCCCCACTGAGCTAAATCCTCAGCCCACCATTTACTTTTTAAAATCATTATTCTTTGATTTATACTTTTTGTTCAATTCTTGGTACTCTGCATCATCATGGGTTTTTCCAAATGTCTCTCTTGGAGGTATATTCCTGACTATGCATATATCTTTTCATTGTCGATTTTCCAAACACCTAGCCAATTTAAACAATTAGTAGATTTAAACTTTTACTTCCAACAATGCTGTGTGCATATAATTTTGTCTTTTGTTTTATGTAACATTTCAAAGAGAAGCCTGAGGTTAATTTGGTTTTGTTCATTTATAATCTTATTTTCAGCTCGTTCTTATAAATTAATTTTGAAATATAAAGGTATAGTTATCTCTTTCCTCTCATTGAGATAAACACTTAATATTTTGGTATATTTCCTTTGAGAACCTTTTCCTATACATATATTTCTATGTGTGTATTCTCTGTAAAATTTATATTATGTAACTGAGATGATACTATGCCATATAATCTCTACTTTTTACCTACTATTTTATCATTGGCATTTCCAACAAATCCTTTAAAAACATATTTTAATAACTGCATAATATTCCATTGTGTGGCTGTATCCTATAATTTAGTAATATCTCTATAATTTGATATTTAAGTACTTTCCAATTTCCTATGGTTAAGAATGATGCTGTTATATACCAGGTTATAAAAATCCTCATGATCTTTTTCGTATATATATTGAGTTGTTATATTTTACCTATTTCTAATATGATAACTGAGCATTGTTCTAGTTAAAGGTATTGTACACTGTTAAGAGCTATATATTAGACTGAGATTCAAAGGCATTTGCTTCAAATCCCAGCTTTTCCATTAATAATGGTCTCATTAACCAGGGTAATTTAGTAAACCTCTCCTATCTCATTTTTCTTATCTAAAATATAATGTCATCTATTTGTCAATGTCATTGTCTTTACCGAATAGAAAAGGCATATTTAATGCATGCTAATTGCATCTAAATCTCATTGCTCTCACTTGTTAAAGCCTGTTTTTCAAGGCTGTCACTATCACTGACCTGTGAAGTGAGAGACTCACATTACAGAGGAATACTCGAGGCACTTCAACCAGGTTTTTCTGTCTCTAACATACAAACAATTGACTTCTCACTGTAATTTTGGCTTTCCCAGGGACATCTTCCCAAGGCTACTTGAGAGCAAGGCTGACTTTCTCACACTCGGTTGAAGAGTCTGATGGTTTATGGTGCCTTCCCTTCAGCTCTTGGCTCTCATCTCCAAGAAGCAGAACTAAGCTGAGATAACAAGGATGAGAGAGTGACTTGCTTTTTGACAACTGCACATTGTTACTTCTAGGTGCTCCACCCAGATTTTGGCAGTTTCAGTATTCCTTATCCTTGGTAGGGAAGGGCAATTAATTATAGATTATGAGAATATAAATTTTTTCTTGTGTACAGTGATACTGATTTTACTTTTCTGTACTTAAACAGGGCAAATTTACCACAGCAAGTGATGTGTGGGCCTTTGGAGTGACTCTGTGGGAGACTTTCACTTTTTGTCAAGAGCAACCATATTCCCAGCTGTCAGATGAACAGGTTATCGAGAATACTGGAGAGTTCTTCCGAGACCAAGGGAGGCAGGTAAGAACTGTTGGGGGCAGATGGAAATGGATTTGGGTGCTCATAGAAGAGGAAGAAAGAAAACTTCTGACTTAGCAGGACAGACATGAGCTGGATGACGAGCTATCTGATTATAGTCTTTTGTCACTAACTATCCAGATTATTCAAAAAGACCAAATTCATCCCCAGGTAGTCATATACTCTGTCTATCAATGGTGTCTACTCATTGATTCTTGGAAAGCATGAAAGGTCATGTCAGGTTCCTTCCCAACACAAAGGTAGCAGGAAATAAAATCTTACCTCTTTGACCAATAATTGTATCTATTTCTTGATTTAGATCATCTGTTTTGTCTTTCTGGTTAAAAAGTATATGTGTAAAGAGGAATAAGAAACTTATTAGCCTTCATTAAAGCCTTAGAAGCCAGGTACATTGGTGCACATCTGTAACCCCAGCACTCTGGGAGGCTGAGGCAGAAGGATTGCAAGTTTTAAACCAGCTCAGGCAATTTAGTGAGACTGTGTCTCAAATTAAAAATGACAGAAGGGCTGGAAATATAGTTTAGTGCAAAGACCTTGGGTTCAATCCCAAGTTCTGAATAAATCCCTAGTGTACCCATATTTCTAGACTTGGATGTCCAGAAATGGACAGGTGTATCCTGGACTTCATGTTCCTGGAAGGCACCTTTGGGCCAATTTAATGATGCCTTTCATGACTCAGGGAAAGCTGGATTCCTCAGATCACAAGGAATCCCAATTCCTAGACTTCTTAGGTACCTTTTCTTTGGTTAGCTCAATTTTTAACACTTCCATGAGATCTGAGTTTTAAAACTTGCCAAAAACTAGTACATTGCATTTCAATGTGCATTTCAAAGTGATCTGGCTATAGAATATTATGGCATCTCCAGAAGGAATATGATAATAGCTGGAGAAGGCTTTTGCAGAAAATAAAAAGTTGATTCTCTGTGGTTTAAATAGACCCAAGCAAACAAACGATAAGAGAATGACAAGAATAATGCATAATCTATGTTGGAAATGAGAGTGGGAACCTAGGATTTAATTTTATCTTGATATTGTGCTGTATATTTTGGTAGCAGGGGTCCTGATTTACCTATCTTGGTTGTGATGCAATTGCCTTCTATAATAAAGGGCAATTGTACTCCTCTGTTTATGAAATAAGCAAACACATCAAGAAAAAAATCTTTATTTTCTCCTGGACTTTATTTTTTCCACCACAGTGACCCCTGAGAGAACACATAGCCAGTTAAAGATAGTGTGCTCAATTAGAAAATGCAATCTTATGGCAGCATAATCATGCTCCAAAATTGAGTATATCTTAGAATTATAGGCAAAAGTAGGAATGCTACAAGCCTTGCAGGATTCCTCAATGTATTCAGTGACTGAAATGCTAGAGGGAATTTTTATTATATGAAACAAAATTTGACCATCAAACATTCAACAAAGAAAGGCATGCCCTCCCAACCCTTTCATGTCAACATTACTTTAAAAGTATTCTTTATATTGTATAGTTTTTCTTAGTACTAAAAAGTTACACATTAATGATTGGCGTTATATTATTCAATTTCACCAACAACACTTTTTCTCATTTTATAGAAATTTTAGTTTCTAGTAATCTCCAAGATTCTATATTTCTTAGTTTTAGATAACTTTTTAGAAAGGGTCCAGTGATTTTCCTTCTTCAGACGTTAGGGTGCACCAAATATACATTATAATTGTCAAATAGTAAAGTCGAATATATGACTGAAACTATGCCAAAGCCAAATATTACCTTTACGTGCTAAGTAAAACTCTCATAAGCATAAGTGCTACTAAATTTAATATATTAAACATACCAAACATGATTAAGTATAATTTACTAAATTTGTATTTTATTACATTTTGCTTAATGTAATTGGTATTAAATTTATTCTTTAAATTTGGTATTCAAATTTTAAAAGTTTGGCACTGGAGTGCAGGGAGAGTAATTTCTCAACATTATCAGTGTCTGGATTCTATGGTGACTAGACTGAGCAAGAGCTACATAACTCATTTTCAAGTGACACTGCTAACCTATTAAACACAGCAGATATGATACAGAAGAAAAGAATATCAGTACGATAGAACCTAGAAAGAATTTTACACTTAGTATTACTAGCTCAAGCAAATCTTAAATTCTCTGTTTTCACTTGAAAATACTTGGTAGTCTACACAATAATTTAAAAATGTATTTGACATTTTTCCTTTCAATTTTATCTTAAGATGTGAATAATTTCTAGGGGGTGTTTTCTTTGCATGCATATGGTCTAAATGGAATTAAATAACCAAAAAAAAATCAAATGCAGTCTTAAAATTTTATTTGTTTGATGTTACAAAAGGCAAACAAAATTCAATAGATGTAATATTAATTATTATGAAACATAGCTTCAATTATTTGCCAAGTTTATAAGACTTTGAAAAGGGCAACTTTAATCATTGAAATTACTATTTCTATTTTATTGACATCTGTTGGCTCAAAGTACATATATGTTTTTTAAATTATTTGATAAACATCTCAAAAGGGCTTAGCAGTTTTAATTTCCATCAGTAATATGTGTCTGTTATTCTGTACTTTATTTGAGAATATTTTTTTGGAATACTTGGCGTTTTATTGCCATAGTACCCTGTAACATGCTGAGTTAAGGCTTGTCAGACCTAATTTGAGATTCCAATAGAAGTCACAGATATTTGCCTTTTTGATTTGTGAATGTAAAGCTGATGCACACAGAAAATAAGCAGATGCTGGGTAAATTCTAGCTTCTCTGATGCATCTTGTAGGCTGGTGTTGGTATAGGGGAAGGAAGGGCAGTAGGAATAGGTTGATTAACTAGCTACAGATGTTGGATTCAGCAAAGGCAATGGATGGGTATATGGTTCAAAGAGCATGAGAAGTTTAGTTATGGTTCAGGAATATATCAATGTGAGACGTGATCAAAATATACAGTGAATGTTTAAATTTAAAATTTTTATTACAATAAAAGGTACATTTCCATTTACCCCACTCAAAATACCCCATCCCCACTTTGAACACACTTATCACGTTCTTCTTGCCACTTTCTGAAGCACTGGAAATTTTCTTTCATGAGTGTCTTCATGAGTTGTGATCAAAAACTGTGAAAGCTGCTGCTGTGTGCAAACCAACTGAATGGCAGGCTTATAAAAATATTCCTCAACATCTGGCACTGTGTAACTTCTGGCTCTTCTCCAAAGTCAAAATGACCATGAAAGGTAAATGTTTTGAATCAGTCAGGACACTGCAGACACAACAGTGCAACCAATGACACTCACGAAAGAGGACCTCCAGAACTTCTTCAGAAAATGACAGAAATGATGGGGTAACTGTGTTTGAAGCGAAGAGTAGTATTTTGAGAGTGATTAATGGCAATGTATCTTTTACTGTAATCAACTTTTAAAATTTAAAAATTCATTAAATATTTAGTATTCTCATCTCATGTACCAAGATATTAAAAAACATGGATAAGGAGGTGGCAGCAATAGATTATAGACACAAAAATGACCTAGGAGTCAACAGAGTGATATCTTATTTGAAATAATCTGTAATTGGCAATTTCAGAATAGAGTCCTAATCTGGAATTCAGAGCAGGACTAGAGATGGGGAAAAGGCACTGACTTTGGTGCAGGCTAGAAAGCTGAAAGCTAATCCCTTTTATGTGGGACTAGTAGGGGAAGGGAAGCACAGAGAACATTGTGGTTAGGAATTACATGGATACATCCTGCATCCTGGTTTCTTCATCTAAGATTTTATTCCAGTCAAAAAACTGAAGCTACTAATGAACTTTCTATGTCTGCCATGCTCAGCTAAGGCAAACCTTCATATGGGGACATCAAACGTGGTCTACCACGGAACATCTGTTCCCTTTTTGGTTCAGTTTCATCTTTTGCAAGAAGGCAGGAGTCAAAAAATGCCCCATCAGGAGGTCCTACTCCAGAGAACTGGAGAATATAAAGGGGATGCAGTAGGGGCTGAAGTGATTTAGAATTCTTGTAAGAATGGACACAACACCCATGCCAGTAATCAAGTCCAAGGACATGGAGTGGGGGAAAACTTAGGATGAAAATATTAGTTTCCTCTTCTTAATATTTTTTTTCTCTTTTTAAATTTTGTTTCCAAAGACTTACCTCCCTCAACCAGCCATTTGCCCTGACTCTGTGTATAAGCTGATGCTCAGCTGCTGGAGAAGAGATACCAAGCACCGTCCCTCATTCCAAGAAATCCATCTTCTGCTCCTTCAACAAGGCGAAGAGTGATGTTGTCAATGCCTGCCAATGTCCCGATGGCCCAAGTCCTCCCCACAAGACCTACCACTCATCCACGTCTAAGCCACTCCATCTGGACATTTAGTGGACCTGAGGGACCGAGGCTTGTTAGCTTTTCTCTCTCTCTCTCTGTCCCTCTTTTCCCTCATTCTACTACCCCACTCCCTACCACTGACTCATATATACTTTTTTTTTTTTACATTAAAGAACTAAAAAAGAAAAAAAAAAGCCTAGGACAAATAAAATATAGTAAAAGAAATCTTACTTGATATAACAAGTGTTAGATAACAAAGGCTAGGAAATACAGATAATTTATAAAGGTTAAATATTCTTATGTTTATAAATGTGCAGATTTGACAATATTTTTCCATGTCACCTTTTATAAAATATCTTCATAAAGGAAAATTTGAAGAATGCTCATATCTTGGGAAACATGAGATGAAGCATAGGGAAATAACTTGGTAGCCACAGAGAATCTGAAGACTCAGCATTTTACGACTAATCAAAGATGGTTTTGTGATTTGAAATCTGGACATGTTGCACCCTGTTTTCCTTTTCTGTCAGAGTGTATTGTACATTCTTGAAGAGTCTTCAGTTCTTAGAATGGCTATTTTCTTCATTCATGGGCAGGGATCAAGTTGAAGTTCACATGTGAAACTGCAGGAATGTAGATAGGAAAGAATGTCTGTTGCAAGACTGTAGGAAAGGGAATTGTAATTAGGACTCCTGCTTGGAAGAATTCTTGAATAGGTAGGAGACATAGAAAAGGAAATCTATGGAGGATAGGTAACAGATATACTGTTCATTTGTGAGGATCTTCTTCTTTGTCTTCTTCTGATATTTCCAAGTGTGTATTTTAGTGAAATCCTGATTTTTTAAATCAGTAAAACCTGATTGTTTTGGTGTCTTGATGGGAGGTCCTTTGGCCCTTCTTGCCCAGATCTATTGCTTTTAATGGAGGAAACCTCTGTGGGATACGTGCACTGGGGGCTGAACCGCTCTGGCATAAATACCTAAAGGCCATGTATAGCAGGAAGTGAGGTCTACTTTGAGTGTCCCCAAACAGTTGACCTAGGATCAATAAGGGGAAGCTACAGGAAGAGTTCTTAGGGAATACATAACCAGAGTCTGAACATACAAAGATGAACAGGCTTGCCCGTAGAGATGGGGAGTCCTTTGTCACTGACAAGGGTCATGTATAGGCTGAAAAATTATGCAAGAAAGATGGAGGTTTTCAAACACAAGATAAATGTCGGTGTGAGAAAATATTTAATGTTCTTTAACCCTAAAACTCCTTGATTCCAGTGAGGCACACTGTGACCATCCACTGCTACTGTTCGGTGTACATGCTCTTGCTTATGACATGATGTGACCAGCATAAAACCATGAGGCTCTGGTCTCAGAATTCATGGAAATGAATGCTGTATTGAGTAGGATTCTCCTTAGAGCAGAATCTGAGCTTTGATCCTCCACAAATCCGCAGATTCAGTGGAAAGCTGGAAAAGATGACCTTTAATTTCCATTGAGGACAAACCAGAAAAGATTACAGATAAGATTCCCAGAGAAACTGTCTTGACTCCTCAAGTCTGCTTATATTGTTTTCCCAGTCCACATAGTCTCTTGAGAAATGCTAATGTTTCCTCACTCGGCCTTCAATATAGCTATTGCTCCAGCCACAGCCTTAGGATAAATCTGAGTCCCCAAGGCTTGTTTTGCAGATCATGTCTGATTGTAGCAAACACCCTTTCTCCATGGATGTCCTATGACTATGCACTTTAGTCTCTCCCAGGATTAACTTTGGAGAAATCATTGGTTTGTGAGGCAAGAGAGCACTGGTTTGGGAACTTTGATCCTCTTTCTACACCAAGGCAAGTGTTCCATCTTGGGGAAGTCACTTTATTTCTCAGAATTTTGTTTCCTTATCTGTAAATTAAGAAAATTGAATTAGAAGGTCTTGCAGTCTTTAGTTTTCTAGTTCTGATATGCTCAGTGTTTGCCAGAAAATTGATATGGATTTAGCAATGTAGTTAATTCCTGCTCTAAAAATTGGGACCAGTAAAAAAGGTCATGGGAAATGCAATAGTACTAATAGTGACACTTGCATTTGTATATTACTTTATGGTTATCAGGTATTTCCATGTACATTATTTCATTTAATATGTTAAGAGTCAAAGATGTTCTCTTACAAACTTGCCACACTCTGATTTCAAAGTGTTAGCTTCCTTAGAATTAGAAGCATTTGAAATCAAGACCTCAGGCCTGTTCTCTTTTATCCTTTATGCTTCAGGAGGGATTACATCCAGACGACTTCTTATGCAGCAAGAGAAAAGAATGTCATTTTGCTTTCCTTTGTCTAATATCTCTTCATATTTTACATTTCAGGCTTCTGTTCCAACTTACTGTATTCAATGATCCCATATTTTAAAATCATGTTTAAATGGAAATTAGAATATCTGCATTTCCCTGAGTTTGAGTCTCAGAAGTAATTTGTTTTAGGTGGCTGTTAAATATGTGTTGTCATATACAGGTATCCTTTTGTGGGTGAAGAAGGCTTTGTCTTCTGCTACTGAGCCCTTTGTATTATACACAGGCTTAACTTCTAATCAAGTCATACTTGTAGAGTGTAGCAGCACAAATCTGAGTGACCTAACAGAATAAATGGGAAAGTCTTAGCATATAGAATTTAAAAGTAGCCCAAATTGAAATTAAAGGCATGAAACTAGGATTTGTTTGGAAAAGGTAGGAAAATTGATGAGAAACTGTGGGGCTTTCTTATCTTTGCAGTAAATTATCCTCTTCATGATATATATGAATTTTTTTATGTCACTGTGTGTTTTAGGATTGCCAGATCCGAATTTATACTTTTGCTGGTCAATGCGTTGATGGCTAGACCCAAATGTTGACATATATGTCACATATGTGATCAGGCATGAAAAGAAGTGCCCAAAGGGAGCTTGTGATTTTGAAGCTGTGAAAAAAAAATCACTTGAGGGTGTTTAAGGGTGTGTAACAAAGGGAGTTTTGTGCAAGTGGGGAACAAAACAAAGTGGATACGTGAATGTGTGCATGTGTAGATGGGGAGGCTGGAGAAGGCCAGAAAGGAGGCTCCAAAAGGAGAGGCAGTGAGAATGCTTGGGAAGGGAAGATGTGGGGAAGATGTGTTTAGCTCAAGCAAGGTGGAAACCACCAACCTGGATCTGATGGACTCCATGATGAAGCATAAAAGCAAGTCTCTCTGAAGAGAGTTGTGAGAGAAGCTAGAAAAAGTAAGCGACTTGAAGATAAAAGAAAAATATGAATGGTGAAAGAGGAAATTCAGGGTGATACAGATTGTAAAAATATTTATTAATAAATGAAAAGTCAAGTGAGGTATATAAAAATGGAAGGGTTTTTTTTTTTTGTTTTAAGAAAGGGGATATCCTTCATGGATATAAAACCACATAGTCATCAAAGGATGACCTTTTTATTTCAGAGGAAGTGGGTGAAAGAGGCCACTTGAGTGCCTGTGTGTTCTAGACCCACTCAAGTGCTGATGAGAAGAAATCAACTTTTTGCCTGAACTTGGCTTTTCAAATATTGAGGTGGACATGGAGACCTAGAGGTAGAGAGTTTATGGTAGTTCCTAAATCTTTGTGCTTCCTTCTCCTGTTTTTGTTAATGAAACCATTTTCAAAAATGACTACAGGTAGACATGGAAATAATAAGCATAAGTTAGACAAGACTTAATCATGTGTGATATCTGCACAAAAGGTATGCACCCTATTGGATACATGCTTTTCAGTCCCATCCAGACTTCCCCCAAGAAAGGCATGATGGGGTTGGGGATGTGTTTTGACTAAAAGAGAACAGAAGGAAGGGAGTGTCTTAATGAGGGAAAGGGAAGATGTGCCAAGGAAATATACTAAAACAAAATAGCATGTTTTACCCAAAACTATAAAAATGAAGAGAATGACAATATATAGCTATTAAGTCTTTGATCCTCAGTTGAATTCATAGACATGGAACTTTCCATCTTAAGTCTTTTCCATGAGGCCTCTATCCTATGGAAGTGCAGAAAGTCCCTAACATTTCTGGACCATGTCAATCCTGTTCTACTCTGGGAAATCCTTATGAATTGAAATTTCACATTTTTATACAAATAGATGAATGTCATTGCCACTTGGTAACTTTTCTGGAGTGCTGAATTAGAAGGGAAAAACATTGGGGTGGTTAATGAGGATTCAGTTTCTGCCATTTTGAGTTCCCTGCTCCAATTAGCTGCAATGTTTGGTGGCAGAAGAATGGTATTTGTTTAGTTGCTGTATCTTTTTTGAAAACTTGTTATCTTAAAATAATTTAAGACTCACAGGAAGTTAAAAAATTACAAAGCAGCCTTGCCCTAGATCTAGTTTCCCCTTGTTGGTAGTATTTTACAGTCCATTTTAAACTACGGAAACAGTAGTTCATTTTGAACCATTTTCAAAACCAGAAAAATTGATGATGGTGTACTACTACTAACTAAACTACAGACTTTATCTGGATGTCACCAGTTTTTCTACACGTGCTCATTTAGTTGATATATTCTTTTTTTGCTGATTTGTAACCTGGTGTTGCTTATATGCAACATGAAAGACACGATTTGGATAGCATTCTATAAAATTTGACAGAATGTTCAAGAGAACAAATTAATCTGCTCATTTATCAATGAACAATATCATGCCTAACCTGGTTCTAAATTTTAAGGTTTGTTTGGGTCTGAAACAATCCAAGAATGACATAGAAGGATTAGACAATTCAAAAGCAATAAGACCTGTTCACAGCTTGTTGAGTAGAGAGCAGGGATAGAAGTACTATCTAAGTAGTATCTAAGTACTGTGGTTACTCCCATTCCTACAGGTGAGTAGGACTTTCACTGGTGAGGAGGAGAACACCTTAGAGTGAACCAGAGTTTTGGCCAAGAGTTGGGTGGCACTTATTTAATGGCACCAGATATAGTTTACGGAAGGAACAGAATACAATGGTATAAATTCCTGATGTGTGTGATAAAACACTTTTTTCAGAGTAGAGAGAAGTGTAATTTGTTTAAATATCTATTCTTAATTAGAATAGCAATCACACTGGACCAAATTAAATGCAAACACAGCCCCAATCTAGGGAGAAGTTGAATGGCTCTTTAGATTTTGGCCTTAAACTTTGTGATCACCATTTTTAAGCTGCCCTATTCAAGATTGTAATAGTATGTCTTGTAAAGTTCTGAGGACATTTGTGAACACTTGCTGAATATTTTATGAATTTTTTTGAATGAATAAAAGATGGACACAAAAACTTGTTATCTAGCAAGGGTGAATCTAGAAAGAATTGCTTTGCTTTAACATTGATAGCTTATTTTGAAATAAGAAACAAATGCCCAGACTTGTACTAGGTGCAGTGTATCCTCCATTTGTATATGTGGTGATGAAAAAATTGATCAGTGGAAATGCTTCATTCTTCATAGTATTTAGACAGTACTGCAAGGTATCTTAATAGTATATCAGATCAAAAACAGAGTCCAGACTCTGGCTCTAAAACCAGCACATTTGATATAAACCTTTTAGTTTTTCCTGTAGATATTTTGTCCAGAACTTCTTTACAGGCTTCTAGAGGGAAAAGGGATGTGAATCCCAAGGTAGCCCATGCTCATGAATAGTCATAATTGCATGTGCAGGGAGGGAGAGAGAGAGAGAGAGGGGTGAATATGAATTACTTTCAGTGCAAAATCATTTTCCAAAAGAGAGGCTTGAAAATAATTGAAAGTTGCAAGGATTCCTGCAAACACACAAAGTTTCTAATTTAGCCTATTTTAATAGTTATTTACTATTGATGCTGTCTTGCTTGTCTCTCATTTTCTGATGGTGACTTTTTCTGAGTACTGAGTTTCTGTAGCTGTGTGGTACACTCTATGATGAGGGAACATCTGGGATTCTGCAGGTTTTGGAGGATAATGTCTTTCATCAATGGGTAAATAGCAAACAGATTTAATTTCTGCTTAAAACTATCATAGACATTCCAAAATAGAATATGTAAAGTTTTTCTGTATTAGAAAAAGAAACATGCTACCAATTGTATATTTTCTTTTCTTTATTTATTCTCTGTAAGTCTGTCAGATGATAAATTGTAAATAACAATGATTAAAGAGTCATGCTACTGATGGATCCTTCTCTGTGTAAATAGCACTTGTTCTCAGCTTTTTCCTCCTTTCATCATTTTTGGAGAAGTGATAGGATGTGAAAACGCAGCTATGGGTGTATTATGTGGTGTGGATGCCTGTTTGTTGGGGCTATCAAATGGTGGTTATTTAAATAGGCTTCTAACATACTCACTGTTCATGGGAAGAAAAACATTTTGGCCTTTAACACTGTAAAGATGCCTAGAGACTAATTTTATGTCCTCACAGTAATTGGTTCAGTTCTGGGGAATCCAGTCCAGAGTTAAACGGGGATCCTTATTGCTATTGTTGCAGAGTTGTCTTGTTTGATACACAGACATCTCTGCTAAATCCAAACATGGTTTGTCTCAGACTCTCTACACATGTACAAACCAAGAATACACGGGCAACCACAATACAGACTCCACAATAGAGATTAGGATGAAATCACCCAAAAGAATACATTTTACCTGAAGAAGTTTGTTTAAACTCAGATTAACTCAGTTTTCTGAGTAAGATAGCACATTTCTTTCAGCAATGGTCATGGTAGATAAGGGAATTCTAAAGAACAAGAGGGCTCATGACTGCTCATAGACTCTGCAGTGTCTGGTTTGGTTTTAGGGATTCAGGTAGCAGAGTGGTGGGAGGGGCAAAGAGGCAAAGGTGGAAAAATGAAACAAGGACAGCAGAGAGGTTTGAAAATGTACAATTCTATTGTCAACACCCGTGCCAAGGTTTAAACATAAGGATGAATGACATATATATATGTATATAATATATATTATCTATAGATGTATCTGTGTATAACATATATATATAAATATTCACGGTGTGAACATTTAAATTAAAAAATAAAATTTATTACAGTAAAAGCTATATTTCCATTAATTCTTCAGAATACTCCCCCAACTTCAAACATACTTATTCCATTGTTTTTGCTACTTTCTGAAGCAATTCTTGATGTCCTTTTTTGTGTCTTTTCACAGCTGCCTCAATGTCTTGAATCAGTTAAAAATGTTTATAGCAATTTGTGTTAAATAAAACATTCTGGTGTGTCCTCATCCACCTTATCCATTAGATCTGGCACTGTGCAACTTCTGCCTCTTCTTGAAAGTCAAAATGCCCATGGAAGGTAAATGTTTTGAATGCATTCAGGACATCAGGTATCTATCACAGTGCAACTAAAGACAACACTCATGAAAGCTTTCTAGAACTGCTTCAGAAAGTGACAAGAATGATAGGCTAAGTGTGTTCAAAGTGAAGAAGATTAATGGCAGTATGTCTTAGTGTAATAATTTTTAAAAAGCACTTGCCATATTTTTATCATACTGCATAAAAGAATATATGTGTACAGATATGCTATGCATGTATCTGAATGAATATATAAATTGTTAATAAGGGGAGATTATATCTACTCTTATTTAACTAGTAGCTAGAGACTATATTTTGTTGTTTTGAGGACTAATAAACCAACTTATTTCCATTTACAATTTTATATTCATTTTATATTTGATAAAGAAATGATATACAGTATAATACCTTGGTTCATGATCACTTCTGTTTGGGAACAATTGGTTTGCAAACAGAAGTGGTAGGCAAAATTTTGCTTTCATTCTCCAACTATGCATAGGGTGATGAACAGGACTGCAGCCATCTTCTCCAGAATTGTGGAACCAATTAAGTTTGTGAACTGAGGTACCACTATACTTATATCTGCAAACAGTCCCTTATGTGCCTCTTGAATCCTACATAAGACTGATTTCCTTTGTATAAGCAACACACAACATTTTACCATTTTATTTATTAATTGGGTACAGTCTCACTCCAAAGGCAGTTTTGGGCCATTTTGAATGAGTTAAAGGGAAAATGGCTTAAAGTTATGAACAAGAGAAGCTTCCTGGATCCACTGGCAGTTGTTCTTTTGCCCTACTTTGCAAACTAGAGGCAAGTTAGTTCTGGAGAAATGTGTAAGGGCCAAGGATAGAGCTCTGTTATTGGAGCAAAAGATACCTTTACTCATCCTTGTTTATCTAAAGGACTGTTGCTAGTACTATAAGAGGAACCAGAAACCTGTTTCAGCACTTAGGGCAGAAGTAAATTTATTAAATGAAGTAGTAGACAGATATTTAAAAGTAGAGATGTTGTTATTCACTATTCAGTTTGTCAGTGACAGATGGAGCCAATGTTCTTCTGGTTTCCAAGAAAACTGAATGAGCCCCCGAACAACACAAACCTAAGATAGTTTGGGGTGATTAAAACAATCACACCTACCCACCCACCTCTGATTAAAAACATACAACAATTGTTATTGTACAGTGTCCTCTATGTGATAAAATATTTTTAAAATACAAAATTAAATGACATGTGTTGAAAACAGTTTTAATTTCCTTGTCTTTCCAGAACTCCTAACAGTTCAGCCCATTTTTCAGAGGTCAAAGCACTTTGAGGGCAGCAACTTCAGATGAATAAAAGGAAAAAGAGGCCAAAATCTCCTTGCTCACCTTGGATAGAGGTCACCATGGCGGAGAGCCTATTGGTCTTGCTCTGAAGTCTTCTGGCCGGCCCTTAATTCACAGTCTATTCTACGCTGGCCATCATCCCAGGGTTATGGTGACAAGTACCTCTAGTGTCTAGGATCTTCTCCCTTCTATGTAGAAATAAATTTTCCTTGGGACAGCTACCAACTCTCTCTGCTCTCTTATTCCTTTTGCATGCCACCTTTGAACTCTAGGACATTTTAAAAGGAGTGTTTAGTTAGACTCTTTAGATTGGCTTTTTTTTTTTCTTTTCATTATTGAGGATTGAAGCTAGGACCTTCACATTGAACTACACCCTCAGCTGTTTTTTTATTTTGAAACAGAGTTTTGCTCAGTCACTAAATTGTCCAAACTGGGTTCAAATTTGTGATCCACCTGTCTCGGATTTCCAGAGTGTTTGAATTACAGGCACATACCACCATGACTGGCTAGGATTAGGGTTAATTTTACTCTCAGACTTCTAGAAAATTCCAGTAAATTGTAGTCTCTTTAAAACAGTTGTATGTGGGATAAGGAAGGTGAGTTCCATCCTCATCATAAAACACTTGGAAATTAAATGTTAAAATCATCAGATTTGTTCTTTAAATCTGATTCTATGGTATAAAATAAAGGATTACTAAACAAGTTGGTGTCAATTAGTCCAAATCTTTAGGATAAACAATACAGATTACCTCAATAGTTTAGGGATCATTGCTGTTCAATAAATAATTATAACTTTGAAAGAAGTCATGAAGTAAATTGAAGTATGTTCAGTAGATTTTGATGCATAAATGTGCAGTTTTAGTCTTAACTACGACTGGTTAACAGTCTACTCTAAATATAGAAACTAAGCCTAAGGATTAGAAACATCAGTTTGACAGAGTACGACTGTATGTGTTGAATCTAATAAAAATGAGTTTTGTAATTTGTATGCATTTTGCTTTCTATTTTTCCAGTAAAATTCTTTTTCTGTGTTTTCCACAAGTACTCATCTAGGATGACTTGGAAACAGAAAACGAAACACAAAACAAAACAGCAATAACGAAAAACAGATCCTTTACCACAGAGATTCTGAGAGGCACTGATGTAGATTACAGCACATTTTCAGTACTTCAATTCTGAGATACCCTAATTCTGTGCCACGTTCCAAGATTTAAAACTGGACACGCTTTTATATAAAAATTTTTTAGGACTGATTTAATCAGTATATAATTGAAAGAGCGTTAGATCTGTAATAAAAATCCAAATTTGGGGAAGGGCAAACTTTAAAACAGGAGCCAAGTAGGGATTATATAAAATTCTTCATGAAATCAATGCTCATTTTCCCAAAACGTTTTCTATAGAGGAGGAGGTCAGAAACCCAGATCTACACATCCAAAAAGCAGAGGAAAATTTAAGTTGATACTTCCTTTTGGTTCCTACACTCACCCCTTTGCTTTAAAATAAGCTCCCGCACAAAACCCCTCTCGCCAAACTGTAACTCCTGGGCAAGGTCTCCGCTTGAGCTGGGCCGGCCACGCCCACATCCGGGCAAAGACCTCGCCAGGGAACTCGACCAGTCAGGGGTGGACCCTGAGCCGAGGAGGTCTGGTCTTTCCCGATTGACTCAGACCTTTGCGTCACCCAGCTCCGCCCCTCGGCCTATTTCACCCCACGCGTTCCTGGCGCGACTAGTGAAAGCAGACTGCGATTGGCCGGCTCAGAGTGGCGTCCATGACGCAGGAGCGGCGGAGCAGGGGCTGTCTCTGATTGGCTGGGGTACTAGGTGGGCGAGTCAAGTTTTGGGCATCTAAAACCTGGGTGAAGCATCTGCTTTACTCTTCGGGATCTGAGAGCGTGAAGATGCGGAAGGTGGTTTTGGTCACCGGCGCGACCAGGTGAGGCCGCCTTCGGGATTGCAGAGGCTGAGTTCAGGCGTCCGCGAGAGCGGAGGTGTGGGGCCCGCTACTAACGACCCCAGCAGCGCCTGCTCTTGAGTTTTCCTCAATGGGGACTTGGCCCGAGATCCTGCCTGGCTTTTTTCTAAGTCCCCAGGAGACACTCAGTAGCTGGCGTTTTGAATTGAAAATTGTCATTGGGAAGGAAACTTGAGTGCCAGTGAGTGATCCACGTTGCAATGATGAGCCTGAGTTTATCAGGGGAAAGTGGAACTTCACACGCGGAGACACATACACACACACACCCTACACTTCCGGGTCACCTGTCAGTGCCTGAGTTTACTTTAGTCCTGACCAGTTGGCCCTATCTTACACACTGGCTGTTTAAATTTTAATATTCATCAGCATTAGGACGGTGGGTGGAAATCTCATTCCATCCAGTACAGCGTTAACATAGGCGGGAACATAGAGAAAAACTTAATCTTTTTCTGTTAATGCACAGTCCGACTTCAGAGTAACCAGCCAGTACATCATTTTTCCAGGGTTCAACTTGGATTCAGCCTCCTTTATTGTCTGCTTTGTTTCTCATTTTTGCTTCCATGAAGAATGAGCAAACTATTTTTCTACTTGTAACATTTGGCACTTTTGAGGGATTAAGACATTGGGAGTGTTAAATGTTATTTAAGACTATTCAGTTTTAGTTATCTAACCATGTCTATGTGAACTAAGCCAGCAATATAGGGCTGTGTCCGTGGGCAGTTTCTAGTGTGCCCTCTCATTTGTGTCAACTGATGTGCTTATGTTGAAAATGTGTAAATAAATCAGAATTGATTTTATGTTTGTTTCTTTTACATATATTGTGATATGTGTAATTACTTACTGATCTTTAGGGGCCTGCTATCTGAAGTGAGGATGAATAAACGTAGATATACTTGGTGTTCTATTGACAGGACCTTTGGGTGGACTGATGGTTTAAGGCTTTTGGGTCCAGGTTTCTATTTGCCTGCTGTTAGCTTAAGTCTTGGAAGACTTGTTTATTAAACGGTTTTCATTGCTCTCAGCAAAGCTGGTCTGACTTCTCTCCCCATCTAGTGGGAAGTTTTATATTGCTTTCTGAAGTAGTTCATTGAAAGTCTTTTAGTGGTATACTCATCACTCCTCTTTCTTGGGACACATTCAGTATCTATTCCTATGTTCTGCTTAATCATGCTAAGCTTTTCCTCTTTCTGTTGGTTATTCAGTCGTGGTAGTTGAGAGGGATTTGTACCTCCTGCTATGGGGCTGATGCTTCTTTTTAAAAAAACCTATCCATTCCCTTAATAGGGATGCCCTGGTGTTCCTCAGAGTGGCAGTGATAGCAACAGTAGTTGAGTCCTTGTTGTTGAGAAACCTAGACATCAAAGTAAGGCATGCACACAAGAAACAGCTATGAAGGCACCCTTTCAACACTTGCTGGTGATTTTTTTTTTTCATTAAGTTTATTGGTACATTTTAGGTATACAATACAGTTACATTCATCATTGGGAACTTGTGCCTTTACATGGTGTATCCTGGTTCTTATTTTTTCCCCATTCCCCTGCCCTCCCTTCAACCCCTCCACCCCTCCTTATTTGCAAAGACTTTGTTTCCCTTTTTTCCTTTCATGTTTTGAAGCACTTTTGTGAACAATATAGTAAGTATAAGATGAAAACCAGCTATGTATTGAATTTTTTTAGAATGGGAGAGACAAACCAGACATCATCCTGAGCAAGTCACAGTGAGAGTAGGGGATTCCTTCCTTCTTTAAGTACGGTTTGAGTATTTCCTCTCTGCTTGGGTTTCTCATTGGAGCTCAAATTAACAGTTTGTTTTCTGAACCAAAGAAAAACATCACTTTATTTGGCACCATCTCCGCTAATGCATATCCTGTGCCTAAATTGTCTTCTCAGTGGCATTGGCCTAGGCCTTTGCAAGCGGTTGCTGGCCGAAGACAGTGAGCTTCACCTGTGCTTGGCATGCAGGAACATGAGCAAAGCAGAAGCTGTCCGGGCTACACTTGTGGCCTCTCAGCGTACTGCAGAGGTCACCATTGTGCAGCTGGACGTCAGCAACCTGCAGTCAGTGTTCCGGGCTGCCAAGGAACTTAAGCAAAGGTATGTCTCTTGTTGACCAATGTTTTACATATATTATTGTATAGAGTAAGGTTTGATATTTAGACTTATTTTTACATATCTCCTCCACATAAATTCATTAAGGAGGCAGGGAAAGTACTGACATTCAACAAGTGACACAGAAATAAGAGTAATATTGCTAATAGAATCATCTGACTTTGTTTTGTTTGTGTTTGTTCTAGAACTCAATTCTTTGCCCTTCTTCAGAACTTTTTTTCTTCAGACTAGTAAAGCTTTGTTCACACCTATATGGTAATTGGCATGTAATAGGGATTTGACAAATATTTGGAATATGAGTTTCTGGATGTATGGGTACTGGAGTACACACTGTATTGGGGGGGGGATTCCTTTTTTTAAATTTGAAGAGGAATTTATGATCAAAAAAGTTGCAGACTCTGCACTAATCCATGCTGAGCCCCAGGGCAATTCAAAATAGCTAATTTTCAAATATTTTTGTAATTAGGCCCCTTAAGAAATGAGGAACTATTTTATTTCCTTGGCCAGTAAAATGAAATAAGATAGAAAAAAGGAAAGTCTTCTTGTTGAAGACATTTGCTGGGGAAAAATGCTTTGCATTGTATTTATATGAATTCATAGTTATTTTCATTTCCCTGTTCCAAATGAACAAGTTACAAAACAAAATCTAAATCTGTTTTTTTTTGTTCCAGTTCTTCTCAATTTGACCTTAGGCCTTTGTGAATGAGGTTTCTTTCTCCTCTGCTGCTGAGCACCTAGAGTTTTCTGCCACATCATTTGTGATATATTCTACATGTCCATAACTTACAGAGTCTTCAAGCCTCTAAAACTGCACATTAATTATCTTTATAGAGTTAAAAAAATAGTCTCAAGAGAGAAGTTTGCAGGCATTCTTTTCCTAGACCCTTCTAGCCAGCTGGGTATCTTGCCTATGTTGTATAAATTTATTTTTTCCTTTTTTAGCAGAAAAGAGCCATCATCCTCAGTTCCTAGTATCACATTTCAGTACAGTACACTTTCGAGACTTAAAGTTTTAACATTTGTAGTATGGACTATTCTCAATTGCTTCCAAAAATTGCAGATATTTGGTAATTTATCACAATTTTAGTAATGTACAGTTATGAGATATTTAGTAATTTAGCACAGATTTAATGAGGTGAGGCTGTGGGACAAAAAGGAGCATTGAAAGTGAGTTGTTCCAACTGGGTGTCATCAACATTTTAGTGTAGCTTTGATGTATTTAAGCCACAAATAGTTCTGAGGTAGATGGGTGACCTGGATTTAGGAAATGATGCAGGTAGTGATATTTACAAACTTGGGAATATGTGAAGCTATCCAGAAAGATCTCTTGCTTGTGTCAAAGCTCTCCTGCATTTAATGGCCCAAATGGATATCATTGATTTTGGACCCGAAGTAAATTACAGCCAAGAGAGCTTGAGAAGGATTCTTTCCAGGTGGTAAATCAGCACCATCCTGGACACTTGGTCTTTCCATCTGTAATATTCTGTTTTATTATGTTTATACAACTGAAAACTTGTAAGGCATAATTATGCTCTTTTACCTAGAATAAAACAGCTCTGTCATCTTTGAGAGTAGTAAGTACTGTAGATTCTTGTACTGAAGCCAGAGCTTAATTTAGTGCTCTGGTACAATTCTCACTCTTTGCTAAGCATTTCTTCTTCATTCCTAGAAAAAAATAGGTTAATATTCTTAGGTGAAAGTTTGCAAATTAAGTAATGGAACAGTCAACAGTAGATGATTGTCTTTTTGGCATTTACATGATGAACCAATGGTAGCAATAGCAGTATTGTTAACAGCTGTTTGGTTGTTTATTATTTATGAGATGATCAGAAAGTGCTTGTGAGTGGTCTGTATTGTCAACTATATGTGATTCAAAGCCTAATTTGAGTAGCTCTGGCCCTCTCTTGGATTAAACAGAGAACAAAGACAATGGGGAGCGTAGAATTCTAGGAGTTATTCTGAACATGGATGGTGCCTATGGGTATCATGAGAACAAGCTCTGCCTGTTTCAAACCTAGCTCAAAAGGGATACACTTAAATTAAGATTTATGTAGGTTTAAAAATGAAAAGGCTTTCTTAGGTCAGTATTTCACAGTTCTGTTCATGACAGTATTGTGGAGCCTACCAACCATATCTTAACCCTGCCCAGCTTTTATAATATCATTCTGTCACAGTGAACTTTCACCATTTTATGAGACCTAACCCTTATCCATGAACACTGAACAGTTTCCACTGAGTCGTCTTCTTCTTGATATTTTTTTCTCTTTGAAACAAACAAGCAAAAAAAAGAGGCAAAAAACTTTTGCAAGATCAGAAAGACAGCAAGATTAATAGAGGGTTGCTGCAGTGGCTAATGGGGAAGGACAAAGCAGGAAGGATTTATTAATTAGAGAAGATTTGACTTTAAAGCCCATTGAAATCACTGTCTAAAAAAATATTTTTAAAAGGTACTCAAATATCTACTGTGCCTAAGAAGAAACTGTTGAGAAAAGGCAATATGATAATCCTGATGCAAAAAATGTTTTCTGTCCTCTGGCCTTCTGTATTTTACAGATAGAATATACAATCTTCTTTATTCTAATAATCTTTCTTGATGTTCTACTTGCAGGTTTCAAAGATTAGATTATATATTTCTAAATGCTGGGATCATGCCTAATCCAAAGCTAAACATCAAAGCACTTTTCTCTGGCCTCTTTTCAAGGTAACTTCTATTTTTTAGATAAACTGATTAGAAGAAAGGTGTTCATTTCTTTGTCTCCTTTTGCCTTTGGTATGTTAAGTTTCAGGGTTGAAAGATAAGGGGATATTGAGGAGGATAAAGACATAAGAAGAAGATGTGGCAACTACACCAAGAAAGGAAAGTAATCATCTTTTGTGGGGAACACTGCAAGTCATGGTTCTTATGGTGTTTCCGGGTTGGATATATCAGGATATCAGTTTTTGGTCTGCCTGAATGTACATATTAGCAAGAACATACCTAAATTGGGCAGAGTTCTCAGGGAGACTGAATACCCAGGAAAATTGAGTTGGAAGCATTTCCTAGCTGTGTCAGGAGCTCTGACCACACCTGACTAAGAAATTATCAGTATACTTAAGAAACTATCAGTATGCCTAAGAAATTATCAGTATATATTAATGTGGTGGCTTTCTAAAACGTTTAACTGCAAACCAGAGTAAGAAATAAGTCTTATTTCTGCTTACTTATTCATGCTGCTTTCTGCATTGATAGTTTTCTTTACTTTTCTTCCATTAGAACACATATACATACATAACACACACACATTACACATACACACTAGTCTTGACCTACTAAGTTGACCTGATAGCAAAACACTGTATCAGTATGTTCAATGCTCTAAGAGTTCCTAGTGAAAAAAACAACCTGCTTACTTTTTTCAGCAATTAAACATACTCTGTGCAAGCAAAGACTTTTTTTTTTGCCTTGGGCATAGCTTGATTTGGAAAAAGGTTAGGAGAGTGTTAGCAGGTGATTTTTGAGAGACTTGGCTTCCTTTTGGTAATGTGAGCTAAAGTATGTATGTGTTTCTGTGAATTAGGGGAAAGGGAGCATTTTGCATGTCATTTAATTCTCTCAGTAATACAGTCTGAGAAATAGGTATTTTTATTCCTTTCATTATGGAATCAAGGAAGGTATAGTTTGTGTGTGCAAGGGAGTTGGTTGGGAGTATTTAAAAAGTCATTCCATTGTTTTCTGCTGTTTCAGAAATATGATTCATATGTTCTGTACAGCTGAAGGACTGCTGACACAACACGACAAGGTCACTGCCGATGGGCTCCAGGAGGTGTTTGAAACCAATGTCTTCGGTCACTTTATCCTGGTAAAACAACTTTGGCCATAGTAAGCCCCTACTTAGTGCTGTTATCCTAAGGGCTTGCATGGAAACATTACGGTGCTGTTTTGTTAAGCTCATTAGTTTATAGTTAGCATTAAATCTTTAAATATTTAAATATTGTGGTCATCTAACTCTGAAAACATGACTTGCCTATAGGAGTTTATCGATATAGTATTTTTTATTTTTATGTCAACTTTAGAGAATGGAGAGAAAGTGGAGAAGCAAATTCCTTCAGAAATAACACACAGAACTGAGAAAAAGCATACTTTTTCTGTTTTCAGTAGTCTTTGGGACTGGGCTTGGGATCAGATAGCATGGGGGCAGTAGGCAAGCCATTATGATCAGTGATAGGTAATTAACTTTTCATTTTCATGATTTCTGGCTCCGTAGCCCTCCATACTTGAATGTAATCAATTTCAGGTATACATATAAAAGTAAGTGTGAGATGTGTAACTTATCTAGCATGTTCTGTGCCCTTGGCTCAGGTTCTGTCTCATAGGACAGCCTAGACATCTGGGATGGGTAATGCCCAACCATAAGGCCAATTGCTTATAATTCCCTGGTGCTGAAAGAACTCTATCTGTCATTTATATTTACAATTATTTTACCTTGGACTTAATTTCTCTCAAAATTAAACCTCTTTGAGGACTAGCCTATATTTATAATGAATTAAGATATGGAACATTGGAATATTATGAAATCATTAAAATAAATGATATGTATATTTTGTACTTATAAGGTGTACTTACAATATGTCATATGTGGGACATCCTCCAGTGTTTTATTATGAAGAAGAAATAGGGTGCAGTATGTGTAGGGTGCAGTATGTGTAGTGTGCTTTCATCTGTATAAACAGAAAGATATATATATATTTATAATATATATAAAATGTTTTTAGAATGATAAAAGTGAAACTGAGAACACTGATTGCTTTTGATGAATTAGGGTACCAGGCTTTTGGGGATGAGTGGGAGATTCATATTTTATTCAGTATCTTTTAATACTATATGGTTTTGATGATTATGTAATATTACATTTTCAATGCTGTAAGTTCATTCAAATATAAAGTTAGAATAGGATTGAGTTCTTATGCAGTCTTTTTTTGTAACTATAGAGATCTGTTAGCTAATATTTCCTATATTTTCTCAATTCTTTTCTGTTTGCTCTTTGAATTGTTAAATTGGATAGTATGATAGAGGATTAATTCATTAATGCTATTAAGAGTCTTCTTTGATCACTCTACTACTTAAAAAGTTAACTTGAGAAGAAAATCAAACATTAGGTAATGGCTAGGGGATGGCAGAGGAGAGTTGTGACTCTAAGGCAAATATCACAGGTGTCAGAGTATGTTCTTTTTTTTTTTTTTGATATAAAGAATCGAACTCAGGACCTTGCATTTGTGAGGCAGGTGCAATACCACTGAGCTAAATCCCTGGCCCCGGAGTGTGTCTTTTTGTAGGTATGCATATAAGCAGGGGTTTAGGAACCCATGTATCAAATACAATGAAGGCTTATCATGCCTTCTGCCCTCTTCAGATTAGGTTTAAGAATCTTACTACTTTTCATGGAACACAACTTCGATTCTAAGTACAGGTATAAATGTGTTATATAAATGGGGCCATCCCCAGTTTGATAAATATGGAGAGTGAGAAAAGAGTAGAGATAATTCCTGTAACACTCCAGATGCAGTGCGGTATTCCAAGGAGCCAGTTCTCTAAATCTCATGTTTATGAGTTTTCTTGCTTCCGTTTAACTTACTTGTTCACTGCAAGCATGGACCACATCTGGAAGCTTTCTTTGTAGATTGTTGTTTAATGATCTTATTATTTTAAACAGTTTTAGATTTACAGAATTATAGTAAAGACGGAACACAGAGTTCCTGCATACCCTATTCCCAATTTTCTATATTAACATTTTGTATTAGTATGGTACTTTGATGAAACAATAATCCAATAGTGATGTGTTATTATTACCTAAAGCCTATAATTTATTCATTTTCTCAGTTTTTGGCTTAATGTTGTTTTTCAGTTTTAGGGTCCCATGCAAAAGACCTCACTGTATTTAGTAGTCAAGTACCCTTAGACTTTTCTTGGTCATGACAGTTTCGTAGACTCTTCTTGTTTTTGTTAACTTGACAGTTTTAAGGATTTCTGTTCATGTATTTTGTAGCCTGTCTCTCAACTGGGATTTGTCTGATGTTTTTCTCCTGGTTAGACTGGAGGTTGTATTTTTGGGAAGAAAACCACAGAAGTAAAGTGCTTTTCTCATTATGTCATATCAAGAACACAAACTCTCAGTGTGACTTATCAGTGTTGGCATTGACCTTGACCATCTTGCTTGAGGTGGTGACTGGCAGGTCTCTCCATTGTGATGTTACACTTTTCCTGTCTCCTGTTCCACACCAAAATCTTTGGAAGAAAGTTACTATGCATGGCCCACACTTTTAGGGTTATTCTGAACCTCCTCATGATGGATTATCTATAGAAATTATTTGGAATTTTTCTGCAAGGGAGATTTCTCTTCTCCATTTTCAGAATTTCTTTACTTAATTAGTTCTTCTGTCCATATGGACTTAGGGCTGTACAATTTTTTCTACTTTGAAGTTATAAATATGACTGCATGTAGTACTTCCTGTTGTCTCCTCTATCTCTTGGACTTACTCTTCTCACTACAGTTTTCTTACTTTAGCTTTCATTTTGAGCACTTTCAGATACTTCAGGACTCATCTTGTTTATTTGTCCTTCCATTCTAGAATGAGCTGTTTCTCTAAAGAGATTTAGTTCCTCTTATTGGAGGATCTGGGTGTTTGTTACTGTTAAGGTTTCAGTTGCTTTTAGGCCCTTTTAGCTAATAGACCATGGAGTTAAATATGCACCTACTAACTTGTGGGTGTATACATATCTAAATGTTTTACACACAACTAATCCATATCTCTGCTAGGCTAGACATGAGTCAGTACTGATGTCTCTCTGTTCATTATGGTTGAGCTCATTCTGGCCTCTTCCTCTTGCTTATCTGTGATAACCCACTCCAATGATGACAAAACTGGCTCCCACCATCTTCCATCCATTTGTTTAATTGTTCCTTTCCAGTATAATTGTATAATAGATTCAAAATTATTATTGTCTATGCCCTCCATAGACTTTGAGACCTTTTTGTTCTTTTTCTTTATTCAGATTCGGGAACTGGAACCTCTTCTCTGTCACAGTGACAGTCCATCTCGGCTCATCTGGACATCATCTCGCAATGCAAGGAAATTTAATTTCAGCCTTGAGGACATGCAGCATAGCAAAGGCCAGGAACCCTACAGCTCTTCCAAATATGCCACTGATCTTCTGAGTGTGGCTTTGAACCAGAACTTCAACGAACGAGTAAGTCTGCCTTGGTGATGGGAAGTGGCAAGATGGTGATTTCTTTATCAACTGCAGTTGATTTCCTAATAACATGGCTGACTTTCAGCATTTTAATTTAGATGTACAGCTAATGTACGTGAAAGCTTGAGGACGGATATTTTGCTTCTGACTTGTTAGGTATGTGATTCATTTACCATTCTGTAGTCTTCAGGAACTCTGATCTGTATTAGCAGTATAGCACCACTGACCACGGCCACCACCACTGTTTAAGTTCTTGTTGGTTCATCAGTTTCTGTTGTTTAATACCTTTCCCATTACAGTTGGGTGAGTCTGATTATTCACATTTTCAAATGAGAATACCGGAGTTCAAAGAAGTTGAGTCATTTACTCAGTGGTTACATGACTGTAAATGGGAAAACTCAGAGTTGAGCCAAGACCATCAGATTTTGCAGCTTGGACTTTCCTGGTCACACAGCCTCCAGGTGTTTGTTGCATTACATGTCTACAAGGCAGTCAGGAGTTATAAAGCCTTTTGGGTAATGGTGCTTTGGGGTGACTCTAGAGCTCAGGCTCTATGAGGATCTGGGTTTAGAGGATGTTTCTTGGGAGAAGGTAATCCTTGACAGTTATACTGGCTCTTTGTGGCTACTGTGGTCTAAAACTATTGTTTCTTTGTATGCTTTGATTGCTCAGGTCTAAATTCTTAAGTGAAAGTCTCCAGTCTTTCCCATGGATATTTCCTTTTGTTTGCACTGTGTTATACTAGTGTGAGACTATGGAGAAGTTGAATTCCACTAACATTTTTACTAAAGACTCTCATGTGTAGGATACTCAGCCAGACTTAGGGTTGAAGAAGAAGGGGAGATAAAAAGATTGTCAGGAAACTATGTCTTCCCTCAAGGGAACTGCTCTGATTATGAATTGAACATAGAAATCTAGATCTTAGGTGTTAGTTTTGACCTGGCTTTCTCTGGAATAGAGTCTTTTATCAGGCAGTTCTTTAGTGATCTAACTCTTAGAACTATGGCTTTTGTAAAGGAGGTGGTAAGAGCTAAGACTATGCTCCTAGAACTGGATTTGAATTATGGCTTTGTCACTAGGATTTAACTTTGGACAAATTATTTAATTTCCTTATTCCTCAGCTTCCTCTTCTGAAAAATAGGGATAATAATAGTGCCTGGCTGACAGATTTACTGGGAGGATTGAATGAGGGAATCACCGTGCAGCAGTCACAGACAGCATTTCTTTGTGTTCAGAATGTGTGTATTTGCTTGTAAGCATATGTCTGCACACATGTATGGGTTGGAGTGTATGTGAATGTGGTAGCTGTGCTTGTGTACATACATGTGAGGGTGCATATGTACTACATGTGTGGGTCTTGTGGGTGTGCTCATTCACATGAGCATGAATGAGTGTACACGGGATGTGTGTACATGTGTATATGTGTGTGTTCTGTGTTCGTGTGTTGGCTATTATTAAAGCTTGGGCTTAGTGTGTTGATTCAGTTATGAACCTGCTGACATTTTGTGAGATGTTCAGAAGCTTGTCACAATTGCTCCTTGGTGCTCTAGAAACTCCCTTTTAGAGGGCAAGGTCAGAGTGGATTAGCTTTCATAAAAAGTGCTGGGATTTTATTTAAGTTTCAGTTGCCAAGAAAAGTTTGGGATTTCATCTTTATACAAAAAAACAAAACCAAACCGTGATTTAGCTAGTGCTGCTCCCTGCTCAAATCTGTTAGGATTGGTTCTTAGCCCTTGACTTTTCCTCCTTGGCTTTTCTAAGGAAATAAGAAGCTTAGAGTCACATTAGAGGGTTCCTTTTGAAGTCTTGTGTTACTGGAAATGTTGTCAGGTTCTATAGATGCTCCCTGATGGATTTTAATAATCCAGTAATGACCCATGTGCAAGTTATATAGAAATTCTCAGGATCAGCCAGAAGGCGATGGCGGTGTAGGGTGCGTCCCACAGCGCAGCGATGGCCTCCATTTCTCAGGCCGGCTGCTGGGGAGCCAGCTCCAGGGTGCCAGCGGGGAGCCCGGGCCGCCCGAGTTGCTGCCTGCGCCACCGCCTCTGCAGTGCTAGCTGCTGTACAACTGGCAGGTGACCAAGGTATTGCTGAAGGAGTGCTTAGCCTTCCTCTTCAACTCGGAGCTGCTGAGCGACGTGCACTTCATGCTGGGCAAGGTCCGCGGCACATCCCCGCGCACTGCTTCGTGCTGGCGGCTGGCAGCACCATCTTCGACGCCATGTTCAATGGCGGCATGGCCACCATGTGGGCGAGACTGAGCTTCGGGAGGTGGAGCCCGCCGCCTTCCTGGCGGTGCTCAGATTTCTGTATTCAGATGAAGTTCAAATTGTCCCAGAAACAGTCATGACCACTCAGTATACTAAGAAATACGCTGTCCCATCCTTGGAAGCACATTGTGTGGAATTTCTTACCAAACGTCTCAGAGCATATAATGCCTTTATGTCACTTACTCAGGTGCGATTATTTGATGAACTTCCTCTTGCGAGTCTCTGTCTAGACACAATTGAAATTCTCAGGATCATCATAATTTATTGCCTCTAATTAAGCAGAAGAGGAAGCTGAGGCATGAGGAGATTAAATAATTTGTCTAAGGTTGCAAGCTAATCCAAAACCGGAATTCAAATCCATTTCTAAGGAGCTCTGAAGTTTTTGAACTTCTACTTTATATCATCCTCCTTATGAAAAGGCATAAGTCTTAAGAGCTAGTCCACTTGGAGAAGACTGATTCCTTATATCTTTTACTAATCAATGCCAGAAAGTTGTAAATGATGAAAACCCTTAATTTTGTTTGAAAATTTCTTGTTTAGGACTGAATAGTTCATTACTAACTCCTAGATCGTTCCAAGAGTAAGAAAGTTTCCTTAGCTATCTTGAGGACAAAATATGTTACTTTCTTAGGAAGATTTTTGGGCTCTAATGATGTTGAGTGCTAGCTCTTGACTTTTTTTCTCAAGGACAGTTGGTTCATCAAGAGGACTCTCAGGGATAGATGACCTGTGTCAGGCACTGCCAAGCTTCTGCATCACCCAATCAAAGAAGAAAAGCTCCTAGCCTCTGTTTGTCAGGGTGCTGTATGCCTATAGATCTGTTACATTGGCACTTCTTAAAGAAAAAATAAGGTTACAAGTAATAAAAAGAAGTTGAAATAATCAATATCAAAATAAGTTAAAATACAGGGAAAATTAAACTAAATAAAATAGTAAAACCAATCCCTGTGCTGCAGGACTTACTGCACATGACTCATGGCCCTTCTAACATAAGCTCTGTATTATTTGGGGCTCTCTTTGTAAGATAGAACTTTCTAAAATGATGACTCCTGGACTAAAGAACTTATTTAGAGGTCTTCAGTTGAAGAAGGTCTTTATGGCACCAATATAGCCTTTATTTCCTCTCTGATGCCAGGAGTGCCCATCTCAAGTGCCCATCTATGGGTCTTACATACCTATAGGGAAACAACATGTATTTCAGGCTTAGCTTTCTGCATCTACTAGATCAGAAACTTCTTGAAGGCAAGGACTGAACTCTTTTGGGTCTTTTTATCTTAAGTGTTTATTAGGATCAATAATCTGATCTTCAGTTAAGCCAATAACATGGAAAACTCAAGTCACCAGGGCACTAGGGCCTACTCCCCCCACACCAGCTTTAAGATTGGTCTTTATAAGTGTAGATTTCTTGAGAATAGAAACTTTATTTTACTGATCTTTACATTCAGAATGTCTCTTGTGAAGGGTTCTCAGTGCATGATTATTAAACTAAGATGATCTACTCAACTTCAAGGACAACTTAGAGCATAAATTTGTCATCCCTGGCTTCCTGGCTCACATGTATATCTCTTATTAAGTACCATGTAGTTGGACTGAGTCAATATATACTGAATTAAAATCTTATTACGACTTCTCTCTGTGCTCCCAGGGTCTCTATTCCAGTGTGGCATGCCCAGGTACAGTAATGACCAATATGACCTATGGAATTATACCTCCCTTTGTGTGGACACTGCTGATGCCGGTGATATGGCTGGTGAGTGAACACTTCAAGTTTGAGAAATGATTTAAGAAATTGATCTTGAAGGTGACAGGATTCCACTTAACTTCTAGTTATTGAAGTTACTTACATGTAACTCTTGCTTCATACTCTGGTATTTACCACTTCCTTGGTATCTGAGTGTTCACTTTTTTTCTTTGATCATGCCCCATGGAGCCTAAGAGTTCTGTATTCAGATAATTTTGGAAAAACTCACCTAATGCAGTGTTTGGACTTCTCTTGAGTTTTCAGTGTGGTCATGTGCATTAAAAGTTCTCAAGAAAGAAATGACTGTGCCTTGTATTACCTAGAACTTTATTTTTATTTGTCTCTTTTACTTTGGGTTTTGAGTATCTTGCAAGATCACTGTTCTTGCAGCATACATTGGAAAATCCTACCTTTAGCACATAACCCTTTCTTGTTACAAGTCAGGAAAAAAATGTCCCTCCTTAATGGAAGGCATGTTGAAAAGATCAGAAGTAAAAATGCCTTCATGCACAAAGTAGTTGACCCAGAGTGGTAGAGATTGTGATACTTCTTTTTTTTTCTTTTGGCTTTATTTTTTGACTCTCAAAAATGACGTATGATCCGAAATGCAAAATTTCTTAATGTTTAAATGAGTTCCTTTTGTGACTCTGTTCTAAACCACCTCCAAATGACTGTTGTTTTCTTTTTCTCAGCTTCGCTTTTTTGCAAATGCTTTCACATTGACACCGTACAATGGAACAGAAGCACTGGTATGTTCCTGCAGTTTTCAAAGCTTGTATAATGACTTAGCAGATGTGAATTTAGGTTCATGGGTAGTAGAAAACATTTCATCTGAAAAGATAGCAAGAGAATAATCTATGTGAATAAGGTGGACCATCAAGCCAGATGTGAAACTTGAGGAGTGGAGTTTGAAAGGATAATATCTTCTAGGGCACTGTCACCATTATTATAGGGAATGCACTTCTGTAGATGTGAGATGCACCAGCAGCTGGAGGAGGGACTGTAGCAAAACACTAGATGGGCAGGGAAAGCAAGATGGTGGCTGAGTGGTCATGGTGTGATTTTCTACAGAGGTAGTGGACAAGAGTAGGGGCAACAGAGTCATCTCTGTTTCCCTATACGAAGATTCTCTTTCCCCTGTTGGTATTAGAGGATCAAGTTGTCCCCTTATAAGGAAATAGTGCATTACCTTAAATCAAGATAGACAGTAATGAACCAGTTTGCTGTGCACAGTAATGTCTCTGTATAGTTTTCACCCTGGCAGCCTCTACTAGCAAAATAGAATTGTCATGCAATGTGAGACTTGTCATTTTTTTTGTCACATCATCTCATTGAAATCCCAGGGTACTAGAGTCAGTTCCTTATGTGCTCACTCCCTTGAGCTACTGTGGGATTTTGCTCTTTACCCTGAGAACTGTAGTATCTACACTTAGTAGATTCTCAAATCTTGACCAAATTGAAATTAACTGAGGAAGACGTGAAGGGAATTGGCTCAATGCTCTTTCTTTGATAAGCACTGGAGAATCAATTGCACTTATTGTAGGGATACAAATAGGTTGTAGAAGGAAATGATTTTATACTATATTTTAATTAATTCTTAATATAGTTGCCAATCAATTGGAACTAGGAGTTATTTATTCTGCGTATCTGTGGTACTAGAATTCAAGTCTAGAGCTCAAGTATGTTCTGAGTCAGTAGTGTGGGGAGTAGAAAACAAAAATCCCCTATTAACTAAGTAGAATATTATCTAGAATTATGTCTAAAAAAAAAGAGGAAAGTTATAAAATAGGCAACAAAATAAGACATTCTCTAATCAGGTGGTGAGTACTCTAGGAATAATCAGAAAGTAGGACGAGTGGGGAGGGCTGGTTCAGACTTTCCTCACTGAGTGGGACTTGATCTGGGTTCTGAAGGACAGATTAGATTTGGATGGATAGACAGGATGATGCTGTTTTCGGGGTCCTTGTGACCTTGTTGTAATTTCCCCAAATGTGGGTGGGTAGGAAAATATCACCTAAATACTACTGGTGATGGCCGCAGATACTAGTAGATATGAGCATACCACATGAGGAGCACGTATCTCTTTCAGTCTCTGGTAGATTTTGTCTTCTTAAAGAACAGCATGAGCTTGAGGTTGAGAGACCTTAAGAGTGAGGATGCTGCAATTAACTATTCAAATCCCATTACTGTAGTTCCTGGCTGTGAACCACTGGACATGGTTTTTCATCAATCTTAGCTTTATATTATTTGTAATAGGAACTATAGACATAAATGAGAGAAAGTATATTGCAAAGGGGTCAATATATTTTAGCATTTAAGGTTTTAAGGAAAATACTTATTGAAAATAGTACAGCTCAGACATGCATATTAATCAATTGGTGGAATAAAAATAGGCTCACAAAGTACAAAGATTTAATATATGATAAAGATGACATTCCAAAATTAGTGAGGAAAAGATGGGTTATTTAGCAAATGTTAATACCAAAAAGTAGAGTAGAATCTTTTCTTCATCTTTTACATCACTATGTGTTGTAGATAATTAGATTAAATGTAAAAATTAAAATATAAAATTATTAAGAGAAATTGTACGTAAAGTCTTATCTAACTTATACTAAGTATAAAGTAGAAGACTGAAGATTTTGACTAAATAAAAATTTTAAAAGTTTGAAAATTCCACTACAAATAAAACTCAGAGATCTCATGAGGAAGAAAAATATCTGCCATTCATATGATAGATAAAAGGTTAATTTTGTTAGTATATTAAAAAGTTCAGATCATGTGAAGAACAGTATATTGTAATGACCAAAGGTCATGAACAGAAAATTTCTAAATTGTTTTAATTGCATGGAAAGATGCTCACCCTCACTCATGAAAAGATATGCAAATTAAAACTATAATGAAAAATTATTTTTCAACTCCAGTTAACAACTATCAGAAAGTTTGCTAATTTACCATATTGACAAGAGTTTACAGAAATAAGGACTCTTTTACATTGCCAGGGCAGGGTAAACTACAGGTTGGATCAAAAAATACAGTGTGTGTTTGAATAGAACTTTATTACAGTAAATGACACATTGCCATTAATCCCTTTCAAAATACTCCCCCTCACTTTGCACACACTTATCCCATCATTCTTGCCACTTTCTAAAGCAGCTCTGGGAGTCTTCTTTCATGAATGTCTTTATGATGTGTGATCACAAATGCAGTGAATGTTGCTCAGTGCCCTCTAATGGAAAGGTAGTCTAGTAAAAACATTGCAGTGTATCCTTATCCACCTTACTCACTGAATCTGGTACCGTGTGACTTTTGGCTCTTCCCCAAAGTCTAAATGATCTTGAAAGGATAAACATTTTGAATTGATTCTAAACGTACTTACAAAAGAGGACTTCGAGAACTGCTTCAGAAATTGGCAAGAACAATGGGATAAATGTGTTCAAAGTGAGAGAGAATATTTTGAGGGAGATAAATAGCAATGTGCCTTTTACTGTAATAATTTTTTAATTTAAACATCCACCATATTTTTTTGATCACACCTCATCATGTAGGCTCTGATAAGGACTCACTCTTTGGCAAGATCAGTCAAAATATTAAAAGTACATATCCTTAACCCAGACATTCCATCTTTGATATTTATCTTACAGATGGACTCAAAACTTACATGAAGTGATGCATTCATCATTGTAGTATAGTTTGCAATAGCAAAGACCGAAAGCATCCTATATGTCCCTTCATTAGAAACTGATTATGTGACTTACAGAACATCCATAAAATGGAATGCTGTGCTGTTAAGAGGATTAAAAACAGTTCTACATATTCTAATTTGAAAATATTTCCAGGGCATATTGTTCAAGTGAAAATTTCTGTATGTTATACTTAATTTTGAGTAAAAGAAAAGGTTATATATGCTTTCAAGTGAAAGTGATTTTCTTTGGAAGAATACACAAGATACTAATAAGAGTGGTTGCTTTCAGAGAAGATAACTAGGTAGATGGAAAGTTGGATAGAGAGGGACAGTTACATTTTATTCCATGTACATCTTTTGAATCTTGTCTGTGTGCATGCTAATCTGTTAATAAAATATTACATCAGTGACCTACACTTTACTGTGGCATGAGCTGAGGTTGACTCTAAATAAGATAGTCTTCGTGCTTGTTGGGGAATCTATGTGAATATTAAGGGAAAAGAAAGCTAAACAATGACTGTAAATCTCTAACTGCCTTACCTTCAGCAGAAGAAACAAATTATTGACACACCCTTTCTTTTCAGGTATGGCTTTTCCACCAAAAACCTGAGTCTCTCAATCCTTTGATCAAATATCTAAGTGCCACCACAGGCCTGGGAAACAATTATGTCATGATGCAAAAGGTAAATCAGTTCACACTGTTACATTGAAGGTGCTTGCTGCTAAACTGATAGGTTGGGTCCCTGTATCCTTGAGCAGCTCTGTCATTCTGCACCTTCTCTTCCTGGGTCTCCACTCTGTTCACTGGCATCACTGTGGCCCAGTTTCATTTCTTTCTGCTCCCTTCTGCTGCTGAACTTTGCACATCTTGTTCCCTCCACCTAAGTTCCTCATACTCTTCTTTAACCTGATTGATTTCAGTTCATTGCTCAGATCTCAGCTTATGTCCCAGCCTTCTATGACCCAGGCCAGGTGCTTGCTGCTAGGCTCTTTTATACTGGTTGTTTGGAGCACTCACTCATCCTCAGGTTCCCCCTTAGCATTTAAGCCTGGGAAGAGAAGGATACTCCCTCACACACCTTTCCTAACACACAGTTAAGTATGTTGCAGATTGGATGAAATATGAAGTCTCTTTCTATGTGAAATTAACTCCCGTTTAGTATTCGATTCTGTTTGTGACAGTTACTAGCTTTAATAGATTGACATTTTGAAGATGCAGGGAAAAAAATCAAATCAGTACTGTGGTTTTTGGATTAAATCTGAAAAGAGATCATAACAGAGTTACGTACAAGGGAATGAGAACATTTATTTTGAACTATAAGAGCTATTTTTGTTGTTGTTGTACCTTCATCATGAGTAGATTTTTTTTCAGCCTCCTTTTTTCTTTGCTTAGCTTCCTGTGAGGAGGCATTGTCATAAAATAAATCTAGATTGAAACACATAAGTCATGCCAGGCAAGTCATATGAGTGACAGTCCACTTTATGTGTTGGTAGCATGAGGTCTAAGAAGTGTCATGTTCACTGCTTTCCAAGCTGTTATGAAGAATGAATCAATCTTCCATGATTTTCAAGGTGTGTTCTGTGGGGTACAAATTCCTTGAGAACATTTGCAAGAAGCAGTCCCCAAGGCAAATAAATTTGAGGAATGTTTCCTATTATCTTCCCTTTTCTAAGAGACTTGGTAGAAACCACATCAGCTCAGTAAAAGCTTTGAGAAGTTGTAACAGTTAAGAAGTTTGTCATTTTGGAGAACTCTGTTGTAAATCAATAAGCTTAAGTTTAGGCTATCAGACCTTATTTGAATTTACCCATCTAGTACCCTAAAGGGAATGATTTGCTTATGAAGTTTAGAAAAATGTTTAATTCTACAAACCAGAATGCTTCATTAGCATTCTATGAAAATGCATTGAAGAAACTGTTTTAACCTTTGGTTAATTTGGGGAAGTTAGTCCTCCTCTCTGTTAAAAGATGCTATTGAGCTAGAAAGATCCAAATCCAATATGAGAAAAAAAAAAACTAATGTGATTAAATGACCACAAATGTAATTTCCAAAATGTTAAAAAGATTTTGGCAAAGAGGGAGCCTGTATTTGCTGTTTAGCCCTGTTGACTTGAAAACAAGGTAACATTAATATTGGGGTGAAAAGTTTGCTTTTATGTGTAGGGTTTTTTTGTTTGTTTTGTGTTTTGTACCAGGGATTGAACTGAGGACCGTGTGCTTACAAGGCAGGCACAGTGCTACCGAGCTAAATCCTCGGCCCCATGTGTAGGGTATTGATTAAAATGAAATTTTAAAATTTGAAACACAGGAATGTAAAAGGACAGTGAATCAAACAAGATGCAATCTTAGATTTCTTGCATTTAAAAGCAGTTTGGAGAGAGGCATCCTCAGTCTGGCATGGCAGCTCCAAAAGTATCAAACATCTGGTCCTTCATTGTCACTGCTCTGCTGTCCTTAGGGTGTGGCCCTCATCCTTCTGGCTCAAGAAAGCAGTATGGCCAGGAATCTATGGGACACAGTGAAAGCAGTTCTACTTGGGAAATTCATAGCGGTGAATGCCCATATTAGGAAAACAGAAAACTCAGATAAATAACCTAATGCAGAACCTCAAGCTCCTAGAAAAAGAAGAGCATAACGAATCCAAAGCT